ACACCTAGAGACAGATATAACTATACTACTCTTATAATTTTTATTTTTTTTATTTTTTTTGCGTAAACAAGTTTTATTTTAGAAAGTAAAAAAGAGGTGTATAAATAATATTTCATATATTTTTCTCAAGAAAGCAAATTTTACATGTATTTGTTGTTGGGAAATTTTGTATGAAACTTAGATGGTTATAGAAGTTATTTTCCCACAAAATTTTGTATTAAATTGGGATAAAACGAGTATAAGGACAATTTAATAATTTCACATTACAAGTGAATGAAGAGCGAAGACAAAAACGTCGTATAACAAGAATAAGGCATTTTACATGATTTTGAAATGCAATAAAGAAAAATTTTTGCTCAAAAATAATTTATCAAATTTTGTTGCAAAAAATTGATTGTTTAGGAGTAGTATAAGGGCAAAATGGTAATTTTACATTCATAATAGCATCTAGAAACAAAGAAAATTGGATCAAATGGAGAGGATAATGTACATCTTCTTTTTGTTTGGTTGATGAAGAGGGAAAAAAATGTAACACTTTACTTTATTTGTGAAGATAGAAGGGTGAAAAGAGATTGCTAATAATGAATTTATCTAATACATGAAAGTTTGTATTGTAATTTAAAATTTTGATAAAAACCTTGTTTTTCTTCCTTTTAACTATTTTGTCCTTACTTTCTTGGATGAAAATTTGTAAAATTGAATGGATGAGTCATTCGTCCTCTTTTCTGTTTCTTTCTCGTGTCCTCTCTTGTCAAATACTCGTACATACATGTTGCTCTTAGAGCAACCAGTATGATCGCCAATTGGTCGCTCTCTATATTTTAAATTGTAGAGAGTTGACGTAGCTCTCTACAAATATGGCTAGCCTAACCGGTACCACATTTCATTATTTAAAAAAAAAGCCGAATTCATAATATTTTTTAATGTACAATGTATTTTTTCAATTGCTTGTTTGTCTTTGTCCTAAAAGCTATTTTCTAAATAATTCGTGATTTTAAAACTTTTTTTTTTTTCATGAAACATTTATGAAATAAATTTGGTAATAAGATGTTTAAAGAAAATAAATATAAAGACATCTGCTCCGTTTGGTAGGAAGGAAGAAAATTGAATGAGAAGAGATGAATGAAATATTCTTACGAAAGAGATTGCGTTATTTTTTCTTTTTGTTTGGTTGATGGAAAAGAAAATAATAAGATAATACTTTATCTTATTTAATGACCTTGTCTTTCTTCATTGGTATCTCTATCCATATTTGAAAGAATAAAAATTTGTGAAGGGAAAAGGAATTATGATACATCTATCCTCTTTTCTCGCATTTTCTTTACCAAACGAATAAAGTTTCTCTCTTACCCCACCTCTTTTCTTTAGTATGCATATATTCTCACAAGCACTAAATAAATAAATAAAAATACATACTTTCACACTAATAAATAAATAAAATAAAATTCATAAGATAAAGAAAAAGATAAAAAATAAAAAATAAAAATGGCCGTTGCAGGCTGGCAAAGCATCCGTTAGTGGGCTTCTATTCCTACCCAAATATCAACCATATTGGTTGCTTAGGCCCCTTGTTTTTTTGTCTTTGCTTTAGCAAAGTAAAAACACGTAGCATGTTTGGTATTTGTTGGCAGGACATCTGTTGGTGGGCTTATATTCTTACCCAAATATCAACCATATTGGTTGCTGAGGCCTGTTTGGGTTTTTTTTGCCTTTGATAGTGTATCTTAGTGAAGCAAAAGCACGAAACATGTTTGGTACTATTTGCTGTTTTTTAAATGATACCAAAGCGTATCTAAAATTGAAAGTATCAAAATGATATTTTTGTTTGTTTCCGCACTATAGCAAAACACCGCTAAAAAAAAAATTAAAAAATAATATTTTTAACTAACTATTTAAATTTTCAAAATTGTAACACTTTTTATGAAACATGTTTTCATATTTTTACTTTTAAAAATTTTATAACAAATTTACATTATTAAATAAATTTCGAAATAATATTAAAAACACTTTAAAACAGAAACATTGCTTTTACTTCCAATCACAAAAACACAGAGCAACTGTAATCCCCAAATGGCCTTACTTTAGGAGTTCTTGCACGAGGTGGTGGCATTCTACAAATTACGATACAAGTACAATTCAAGCTGAGAGTTTCTTTAATACATTAATTAAAATTATAAAAGTCTTAACTTATTGACAGTTGGTAAAAATAACAGCGCATTCCCACGTCAGCTTATATATACAAATTGTGTAAATGTATGCATAAAGGCGTTTAATTGGCGGTCCAGCTAATGAATGCCCAAATGCCATTAAATTAGTGCTCATCACACGGTCACACCATCATCAACTCTCCTCTAGGAAGACGACCAAACCACTACTACTCAGCAACAAAATTCAATCCTCTAGGCAGGTCCCTTGTTCAGTTTCCCCTCCTAACAAGGTACTCTCTCTCTCTCTATATATGTGTGTGTGTGTGTGTGTGTGTGTGTGTGTGTAGTGATTTTATGTGTAACGAGGTCAAAAGGGTTTAAAAGATCTGTTTAAGGGTACTGTTAAAAGGTCATATCGTGTGTTCATTTTTTTTTGGTTCTCTTTTATCTGTTTTATTGTTTTCGATCTAAATCTTTTTGGATTAAGATGCACTTTAATGTCATTCTAAGAAGTTTTACGTGGATCCTTCGAATTTTTCATGATATTCTTACTTATGCTTTGCCTCCGATTTTTCGGTGCTCACATGGACTTTAAGAAATTTATTAGAATTTTTAATCCGTGGTTAATTTGTTTAATTAGAAGAATGTGTTCTGAATTATGATTTCATTAGGAATGTGATTGTGTTTGCTTTAACTACTGATACATGTTTTCATAATTTAAGTGCTTTAAATGAGAAAGATGAAAAGGCTGAAACTATTTTCCAGATTTCATACCGAGTCTTCGTTTGGAACTAAGAAAAATGAGAGTGGGAAAAGTAATTTATAAAAAATAAAAATAAAAAATGTCAAATTTTCCTTTCCTTATTACTATTTTTTTCACTCACAAATAACTCAAACACTCATTTTGTCAGTTTTTTTTTTTTTTAAGGAACTTGATAATTATTTATTTATTTTAGTTTTTATGTTGGACACGATTGAGACAATGGAGACAAGAAGAGGGGCATTGGAAGACCGATTTTGTCATTTATAATTTGTATACACATGCTTGGTTATGATTGAAGTAGGATTTATATAATGTGTTACAATATTGCCTAGTCTTTAGAGCCTTAAATTCACATGGTTTGCTGAATATTCAAATAAATTCACTTGGTTTTTCTGTGTGGTTGAGTAATATTCAGCAAGTATGGGAAGCAATGCACCAACATGGGCTGATCAATGGAGCGACGGTGGTGAAGGCGACCGCGACAAGTTCACAACCAGTAAAGACAGGTTGGGGAGCAGCAGCAGTGGCGGCGGCGGCAACAAGAAGAAGATGGCGGAGGTGAAGGCAGCGGCGGGAGCCGGACTTGACAAGGCTAAAACAGCCGCCGTGGTTGGAGGCCAGAAGTTAAAGAATGGAACCTCGTTGGGAATCAAATGGGTGAAGGACCAGTACCAGAAAAAACGCTCTTCCAAATAAACATTATATATGATTTCTCAAAAAACTGCCTAGAATTCTAATGCTTAATGAATAGAAACTTCAATTTAAATTGTCGTTATCCTTAATTGCTATGAATCATACAGTTTTTTGTATTTTATTTTTTGGTGAATTATTGATCATATAGTTCTTCTTATTCCCACTCTGTTAATTTATGTGACACTAAATATGGCATATATATATATACATATACATATACATATAATTGACCATTCATATTCCATGGAATCAGATGCTGTACAACAGAGTCAATCTGATGAGTCACGGTTTAATTGTAAAGATGGGAGCACGATGTTTCTAAACGCGGTCTTTTGATGTTTAAATATCTTGTGATGTTCAGTATTTGATACTAAAAAAAAAATAATATAAAATTTGCATCCGCATGGTTTAATTGTACCCAACCAATACAGATATGCATTGGGGAAAGGCATGCCCTGTCCCAAAACCACTGTTCATATATGATAAAAAGAAATGACCCAGAAAATTTTGTTTTCCATACCTACCTGGGCACAAAACAAAGGAAAATAATATATTAGCGAGTAACTATTAAATTTTTTTTTTTTTTTTTTTTTTTGACATTTCTATTAACTTAGTCGTGCAATTTATTTATTTATTTATTTGTTTAATTGATTTTAAAGAGGCAAGTTCTCTGCAGAATGACTCTTTTTGTTTTTTCACAAGTTCATATATAATTCAATAACAACATACAATCAAATCAAAAATTAGTATTATCATCAGTTTCTTCATCTAGTTCCACTTCACCTAAGAAAATAATATGAAGTCTTATTTTAAATATAAATAAAATATAAACATCCTACTATTTCTTTGCTAAAAATAAATATCATCAAATACAAATTCATTTATTTTTTAATATTTAAAATCATAAGGGTAATTTTGATTTGTTCAATCATTTTCTTTTCACTTTCATACTATCTAAGGAATATTTGAACAAGGTTAATCAACACCACTGTCTAGAGAACAATAAAATTTCGTTCACTTGTAACACTTCTATATTCTTATGTTTCTTTTCTCAAAAAAATATTCTGCTAAACAATTAATTGACGTTGGAAAATCAAATTTCTTTTTTCATGCTATCCAAACCAACAAAATAATATTTTCTTGAAAAAATTTAACCAAAATTAATGTCCGAAACTTAATTTTCCTTTCCTTCACTCCACTTTCTTTTACTTCCGCTTGCACTAGTAATCTCTATCTAACCAAACCGACCCTTGGAAAGGGAAAAGGTAACCTTGAACAAGGAAGGATTCTAAATGGTCAAAGTGGAGTGTCTGAGTTGCAGCAGAGACAAATGAGAGTTCCCCACTGAGACTACTCATTTGGTTAAAAAGATCAGATGTAATCACTCATTGCAGTAGTAAAGTTAAACGAGATACCATTTCATTTGCTACTATGCAAAAATCATCAGATTTAACAGATAAGAAAAGCATGAAAACATATGAACTATTTGCAGCATTGCATTGCAAATATCGTCTGCAGAGAGTAACTGAAAGCGACCGTAGAAGAGCATGAAATGAAAGAGACCATCAAACTACTAGGGCTTATAATTGACAGATGATCTAATAATTCTTTTGTTTTGTTTTTCCTTCAGAAGTCCTATTCACATAGATCTGGACTGCCAATGTCTTATTAAAGCAATCCAAATGTGTTCTCACCACTGTAGGTCATGTAAAGGAAACCGTCTTGGTCCTTGTTCTCCTCGTAAATTGAAGACATCATAGCCGCTGCAACATTGAAAACATTATCTTAAATTAGTGAACGGAAACTAACATGGCATGGATGGAAAGCATAGAATTGATAGAGCTACTGAATCTCACCAGTGGGAGGCAGGATGTTCTTGACGAAAACGAATATAGCCTTCTCAGGACTCAGCTTAATCCTCTTCCGCACCACATACACAAACTGTCCAACGGTAAGATCAGCAGGAACAAGGTATCTACACATCCCAATAAGAAAATTATTCATACTTGGAATAATGGAAGCATATCAGACTCTCTAGACCCATAATGGGTGTAAATAACTCTTCAAATCTAATGATCTTATCATGTTCTAAAATGTAATGTTTATATCCAGGCTTCATACTTTGGCCTCTTGGAAACTCTGACTATTACATTTGCGCGTATTTCTTTAAAATGCATAATGAATTGTCAAACAATTTGGTCAGAGATGCCAGATAAAGCATATGAGCTTCTTCCTTAAAAAACATTGACCAATTCAATGCAGCGACAACTTATCTTTTATCTTGTTAAAGTCACGCCTTTCAAATCAAAGAAATAATTATAGTGTTGTCTGATAGCTCAACTAACTGTTTAAAACTCTAAATTTTCAGTGCTTATATTGCAAAATAGGAATCACTTTAACATTAAGTTCCAATCAAAAAGGGAATTAAAAAGGATGCCTTGACAATGCCATTGCCCCTCCTTCCCGGCCACCTTTTTTTTGGATCGGGGGTTGCAAGGTCTCAAATATGATGCCTAGAGACCTAACATTCATAACATTGATTAAAGCCTACATTACATTCATGTTTCTAACCGAGTCAATAGCAACTACCAGGTCAATCTAATAATATAAGGAACAAACTATAAAACTATCGAGTTATAAAAGTATCGCAAAAGGAGTTAATAATCAAGCACAGGGATCACTTTTCACCAGTGCCTGGTACAGTAGACATCTTCAAACCTATGCAGAAAAAGGGAGGATAGAGAAGGTGGGAGGGGGGTGTTCAGGCAAAAGATGCCAGAAACACCATTTTCTTTACCATATATAGATGTTACATTATAAATATAACTGATATATAAGCATGCCAACCAGTTGCCAAGGATTTGCTCACCACCACTCTTATGTTATAATATAAAGAGTCGCATACCATTACAAATGAAACATCCTATCTACAAAACTACAACAGTAAATAATAGAATGGAGAAACCACTTAAAAGATAAAAAACCAGATAGACCAATCAACTATTCTCAGATTTGGAACCAGGAGGAGGAAGTTAAAAGTTTCAAGTGGATGAAGGATGGAATGACAATAATTCTAATTCATTACGGTTACATACAAAATGTAGATTAGAAGCAATTCCCAGGAGAGGAGAAAAAGAAATCAACAAGAGAACTGAAATCTAAAAAGAAAGTGAACAAAACGATGGCATTCTAATAACATCAACCAACCAATTGTCTACCTAGGACTTGATTTTGAACTGCAGGGGAACATGTATAATAGCCCTTTGTGTAACAAGCTCTGTTATGCTTCTGATACCTATTTCGTGCTTTTGTAGTTTACAATGACAATGCTGCTCAAAATAATTGCTAAAACAAACAGCTCTTGTCTTTTCAATTAAACACACCCAAATCTCAAACTTAAATATAGCACAAGTGTGCAGCCACAGTCTCACAGACATTGATATGTATTTGTGTCCCGTGTCCAATTTTTTTGGAGTTATCTGACATCTATTGTCAATGCCAACAAAATTCAGACCTCAAAAATCTTATGGTAAAATTATATGCTTTCAAAATGAAATAAATGAGATAATGCTGCAGGGATAAGGAAAAACATTAAAGATCCAATAACTGATGATAAACTTAAGATGTGCAACAAATGACACATCAACCATCTTCTTAAATAAGTTGTCCAAGAACATTTTGGTATTTTACAACTTTGTTTAACATGCAAACAAATTCAATTGGAAAAAAGATAATAAGTCTAAATGTGGAACCTTAATGCTTTATTTTAGCATGAGTATATAGTAGGTGAGTGAAGTAATACAAATGATTAATGATACATCAACAAATACTAAACAAATGAAAACTAGGAAATGGAAATAGAAAAACTATCAATAAGAATTAATTTAAGCTATGTTAGGCATGGAACTCAAGCGTTTAAATTGAAAGTTAAATTTTTTTAACTATTTTTCCTTCAATTCCACATTGGCAGTGTAATCCTCATAGCCTCTTCAAGTAAAAATAACTTCAATTCCTATGATTTTTCATAAAATAGTATTTGATAGCATAATTTCTGTATATTATTAAATTGCAAATGAAACACTGAGAGAGAATTCCAGTGACCACAAAAAGCACCTTCCAAATGATTTACCTAATCTGATATGATACTTTACATTTAATTATCATTCTAAAAAGCTTCAATCTGATGTTACACTACCATAAAGCATTCATTAGTACAAGAACATAGAAGGACATGCTAAGAGTAGAAGAAACTTCATATCATTAAATATCAATTTGTCAAAAATTAATGAAATAAATTTATATATTAGAGATAAGAGATACGTAAAATAAGTGGAGATAAACCAACTTTTTCTTATCAATTTCAGATATGTCAGTCTTCTCAGCCCTTTCTACAATCACCTACAATGCAGAATGAAATATGTTAAAACCAAACTTAAAAGGAAAGAACACTAAAGCGTGCAAGTGCATGAATGAACCGTGAAGACGATATCTTACAGGTATTCTATCCGGATACTTCTCTCTGATACGATTAGCTTCTGCCTGCCTCCTTTCTGGTAAATGGTAAACGTACAAACTTTTACATAGATAAAAACTTATCAAAAAAAAAAAAAAACTTTTACATAGATAAAAAGAAAAGGATAGGTGAACTGTCACTAAACTAATAAGAAATCAATTCTTCCTGTCAGTGCATGTGTGAATAAATATACATCAGAAAAGACGTCTTAAGCATGTTTCAAACTCTTCGTCTAGGGCAACTGATAGATATCGCAAGATTTATACATATCTATATGTCCATCAGATTTATATATATCATCATTATTTACTGAAAAAGAAAATAGAAACAACATTTTAGAATAGCTTACTTTCTCGAGTCCATGAAGCCTTTCAAGAACTTAAAGCTTTCTTTTTGTCATACCCTTTTAAACAAACCAAGTGGATTAAATAAGAAGTAAAGAAAGATGAACTAACTTAATTCTCAATACTGTGATATGATTAATAGGTTTTAAGCTCAATAGGATATAAAGACAACCAACAAAAAACAACTAGACAACTTCTTCCCTTGAATCTCATCAAAGGAAATTTTCCAACACATAAACCAATTTATAATATAAGCTTCAAGATTCAACAATGAAGTCATTCTTTTAATGAAGACAGTTATACATATTTACTCACTGGAATGAGTTATGGTTATACTACAAAATTATAGACAGAACTGCTTCAATTTCACAAGAGCTAAATCTACGAACTTTCAGATGCGGTGGTGATCCAAACTAAACACAGTATGGTAAATTAAGATGATAAAAAGTAACTGTTTCAAGAAGTATATATGACATGATAATCAAAATCAAGGTTCAGAATCATTTCGTAAGACTTCCATAGGTAAGATCTCTAGTTATTTAAATCTCCACAGAACACATAAATAGCACAAAAATTGCATTGCCCTTAGATAAACTGTTAAAAGAAAGAAAAGTGAAAAAAAAAAAAAAAAAAAAAAAATTGAAAGTATAATCAATCTTGTATCATCTTGAATTCAAAAGAATTTGATATTTTTCCTTTTTCCCAGTTTCTGATCAACAAAAGAGCGCGTTCATGTGCACCACTTGATTAGAAAACGAACCATAAAAAGCAATTCCAACAGAGACCCAGATCAAAAGATCAGAAATTTCATAAACCCATTGAGACTATAATCAATAAAAGGCATACACTTTGGACAATCATAATCAATCAATAACCCCACTTTTCAATAGAAACGAAATTGATAGTATAAACACCCACCAAAAATATTTATTTTACAATTACTACAAAATTAATATAAAAAACACATAACGAACCGAGAGGATGTTCCAACTTGAAGGTGCTTTTGGCCATGACGAGAGATTTCCAACAACTTGTCACTGTTTGATTATACACACAAATATATATAGATATAGATAGAAGAAGAGTTAGAATTTTTAGTGAATCGAGAAATCAATTTAAAAAAAAAAAAGAAGAAGGAATTATTGCTTACCCAAATATGAGAGAGAGAGAGAGAGATTTTGGACTCCAAGACCTAAACCAAAAGAGGAGAAAGGAACAAAGTGCCCTGCAAGGAAAGGAAACAATAGTTGTTGTAAATGAGTACTGCGGAGGAGTAGTTGAGTCCCAGCTCTATACGGGCCAAGAGGATGGACCCATTACGGAATGTTAGAAACTATTCGTGTCACCAAACACGTTGGATGTATTCGTGAACCCACACTACTGAGTACTGAGTATTGATTGACTCAGTACTGACATACGAGGGACCCATAAATTAATAATAATTTTTAGAAATTAAAAATCATATTCAAGAATAATTTTCCAAAATAAGAATATTCGAGAGTAATTTACCAAAAATATAATTTAATGTCAAACAAAGTAAACTTTTTGATTTTTTTTTTTTTTTTTTTTTTACTTTTCTGTTATTTAAAAAATCTGACTGGCTTGAAATATCTAGTATATATTGAATAAGGGAGGCCCATAATAATGCTAAATGGTTTCTCAACAAAGATATATTTTAATCGAAATTATTAAGACAATACAATTGCAAAAAACACCAAATAAAATATTCATATTAAATTTTTATTGAAATAATAAAAATGTCTATAGTAATTAAATTAAAACAGGTTAATTAGATTGATTAACTGTATAATAAAGTTAAACATGCAATTAAATAAACGAATTGACATTATGACATGAACACAATTAAAGTTAGAGTAGTGTTACACATCTGGAATAATATTTGACATATGTATTTTGAATATGATTTGGTGATAATTAAAAAGACAAAATTGTCCTATATTTTAATACATATTACATTTTCATTATCTTCTTATTGAATTATTAGCATTTTAAAATTAGTATATAATTAAATTAAGAAAGCAAACATTTCCAAAAATAAGACAATCTTTCCCGTCATATATGTAAATGTAATTATTTAAACATGTTCATGCATTTGCGTTTTCAATTTGAAGCGGAAGTGAGAACAATCAAATTGAGTTTTTGTTTCTAATTTTCTTTTCTCTAGTTTTATCTTTTATTAAATATGTGTGTGTTGATATATATATATATATATATATATATATATATATATATTCTCATCTACCCTACCAAATGTTACAATTATAAGAAACTTCAAGTTGATTATTTATTTATCAAATTATTCACACACGCACACACGTAGATTCTTGAAAAAATTGGAGTTCTTATCCAATTGAGTTTTGGAAAAAAATTTCATTGGTGGAACGGATTTGGGAAAGAGATACCCTAATTTGATAAGAACTCTAATTTTCAAATTTACGAAGTGAGGGCTATCCCAAATACATGTTTTTTTATTAAAAAAAAATCATTCAAACTTGAACAAATTTAGGATAAATTTTGTAAAAATGTTTATTATAGTCAATTTTAAAAAAAAAATCATTCAAACTTGAACAAATTTAGGATAAATTTTGTAAAAATGTTTATTATAGTCAATTTTTTTTAATAATCATGACACAAAAAAGTTATTAAAAATTAAAAATCATATTTATAGATAATAAAAAAATATTTTATATATATTAGTTATGGGAAACTCGTCCCTAACATGATTAGGATATTTCCAAATCTATCCCAATAAGGGCGAGATGGGCCGGGATCCCGACTGGCTATGAGAATGGAAAGTGGGGAGAGGAAAGGATAGGTAACTGTTTTTTAGTAATTTAATTTTTATGACTAACTACCTTTTTTTTTTTTTTTTTCCTTCTTCTATTCTAAAAAAATTTGAAGAAGATTATATTGCATGATAATACTATTTAGAAGTTTATCATGATGTTTGTATTATTTTGCATAATTTTGAATTAGGTTTTTGCATGAAAAGGGTATTATGGAATTAATTAAAAATCGTCCAATTTAAATGCACCAATTGTTTAGAAAATAAAAAAAAAATATAGGAAGGGGACTGTTAGTTGCAGTCGCACGTTTGATTGGTTTTGAAAAACCAATCATAAAAAGGTATATTTAATCCATTTTTTCTATTTTCATAAATCTTTAAAGCTTAACATTTTAGGATCGAATTAGCCTTTAAAACTTAACATTTTCCTCACCTGCCATACGGATACAAATCCTCTCCATATAAATCTTTATCCAGCTCTCTCCAAACCTAATTCAAAGGTCAATATTAAATTTGAAATTACTTACCTATATTACACCGTTCTGGGACCAAACGAGACGTTAACGCCAAATATTTTCTTTACAAATTCAATGCCCAAATTTCTCTCTCTTACACTTTCCAAAAAAAATTCCCTTGTTTTTTAATCTCTCATTGATCTTCTCTTTGACTAGTGATGAAATTTTACTTATTTAAGTGTAACGAACAGAGGAAGTTCGATTATATTATATTTTGATTGATAGTGAATATTCAACAATATTTTCATGGTTGAGACTATTGATCAACAGAAGGCCCAACTGATTTCATTAGCATTTGATTATTAAAAGAAAAAAATAAATTATTTCGTGTGTTCTTGGCTTAATATAAGAACAATCTCCTCTACAAAATCGCATACAAAAATATACCTCTTAAGCCTTGATAGATGACAAAGGATTTTTTTGAATGATTTCTTGAAATACCGAAATGTGATCTAGGGTGTTTAAAACACGCAAATCAATTATCTGGTCTCAAATACCCGAATTAAATTGAAATCTTTGTGGCTTCAAGACGGTGAAGGTTGAGATTGAATGGAAAAGAGATAGAGCGTGAAATGTATTTTTTTTTTTTATTATTCTTTCAGAAAAAGGGTTTCGTGCAGAGAGAGGATTAAGGAGATATGAAAAAAGTGAGAATTTTTTTTTTTTTGGTTAGTGTAAGGAGGAGAAATTTAGGTATTAAATTTGTATAGAAAAGGTATGGATTATTTTCTTTCCTTTTTCTTTTAGTAAAAAATTTCCTTTCCTTTGTTTATGTAACCATTATACTTTTAATTCAACTAAAACTCAAATTCTATACTTTTAATTCAATTAAAACTCAAATTTCACAATATTACTTTAATTAATATTTAATAATGGTAAAAATTATATATATATATATATATAAACAATTGTACAGAAAGGTAAATAATAAAGGTTATTTACATTTATGTGAAATATATACAAAAGGGAAAGAAAATAATGACTACGAATTTTAAAGGCTAATTTAGTTCTAAAATGTTTAGTTTTAAAATTTCATGAAAATAAGAAAAATGTATTAATTATATCTTCTATGATTGGTTTTTTAATCAATTAGATGTGTACTTCTTTCTGTATAAAAGATGTATTAATTATACCTTTTATGATTAGTTTTTTAAACAATCCGATTCTCTTTCTATAGCCGCATGCGCAGTCGTCTGATTATAAAGAGTTATTTCCAACAGTCAAAATCTACATGATTTCTCATAATAGTTGGAGTTTTATAAAATACAGTAATATGTAAAAGGTATAACTCTTGGAGGTCTTCCTTGTGCAAATAATGCTATGCATATGTATAACAGGTACTAAGTCACTTTTCTAGACGATGGAAACACCAAACTTAGAACCTATAAATTATAGAGATAAATGATGTGAAGGTGTTAACTTGAAAAATATATTACAGATTGTGCAGAATCATTACTCTTTTTGAAGTTGAAACCGACTCAATACAAAAGGAACAAGGTGCTGAGTCAAATATATTTAGAGCATGGACTCTTAAAAACCCATTTTCATGAGTATGCAACCCAAGTTTGGATAGCTAAAGAGGTCCAATGGACTCTTGGAAAGTGGGCCACAAAGTTTTGGCTCTTCGAACAATTCTTGGTTTTGAAATAGTCCTTTTAAGAGCCATTAGACACTGTTTGGCTAACATAAACGGTGACTAAACGAATTTATTGGCAAAAAAAAAAAAAGAAGTTGATTTTTAATTTCTTTTCTAGAAAAAATCACTTTTTTTGTTTTTGATTTCCCTTTCTTTTCAAGTCTATAAATTTATCAATCGCAACTACCATTCACCCCACAACCCATTCACCCCCACATCCGATCCATCTCTATTTTTAACTAAAATTAATATTAAAATATTAAATATTTGGTTAAATTGGACTTACACTCTCTGGGTTTGGGTTAAAGACATCTATCTACAATTTAAGCACTTTTTGGACAATGACACTCCTCAGATTTGGTAAACTGAGCAAAGACACCCCTAACCATGCTTTTTATTTGACTTCTGAATTGACCCACGTGAATCATTAAATTACCTTTATAACGTCCTATTAATTAACCAAAATAACCCTCAAGAATGAAAAAACAAATAAAAGCCATCATTTCAGCGAGGGCATAACTAATTTTTTTTTTAAAATTCTAAGCGTTCAATATATATATATATATATTTAAAATAAATAAATAATTTCAATAGGGGTGGACGCCCTCACTTGGTCCCATGGACAGGGGCGGAGCCAAGATGGCTTTTATTTGTTTTATTTTTATTTTTAAGGGTCATTTTGGTCAATTAATAAGAGATTATAAAGATAATTTAATGATTCACATGAGTCAATTCAAAAGTTAAAGGGCAAGTACGTACTTTTATCATACTTGAGTGTCTTTATTTAATTTACCAACTTGATAAGTGTCATTGTCCAAAAAGTGTTCAAGTTGTAAATGACTATGTTGAACCCAAACTCAAGTAAGTATCATTGCAATTTATTTGAAATATTATTATATTTGAAGTGGGAAAGGGCACCGCCAACATCTCCACTAACCAAAATTTGAAGAATCCAAAACATTGACCTAATTTTTCAGAGGAATGACGTGGGAAATTTAGAGTGGAATCCCATGCTCTCAATACTTGAAAAACTATCCAAGTCTACTCTCCAATAGAACAAATTGAACCACCAACACTTAGTTTGGACTTAAAGTGAATAGTAACCGTTTCACTGAAATGTACTTTTGCTGACTGAATTTACCAAATTGAAAAAAAATACAAAAGCCATCATCAAGCATTAAGTTTTCAAGTTCATTTATACCAGTTCCCAAGCCTGTCTTGCGTGAGGCCATTAAGATTGCTCTTCAATGCTCTTTCTCCAAAGTTATATTTGATGGAGACTGCAAAAATCTCATGTCTCTTTCCGTACTGATGCATTGTCTTCTTCTATTCTCACGGAAGACATTAAAAGCTATTCTACCGATCATCTTCATTCGAATTTCGGGTCGTTCACTTCAAGAAATGCGCCAGATATTTGGAGAGTTTAAATTCAATAGTTCTTTTTTATTTTTTTTAGATAAGAAATATTAATAGACGTAGAAAGTCGAAACTTAATACTTCCCAAAATTCACCGAAGCACTAATTCAATGAACTATTAAAACATCTATATTTAAACTCAATAGTTGATTCAAACCACTAATGTCAATCTCTCTAAAAAAAAATTTAAAAAAATTATAATAGACAAATTAAAAGGTTGTTTTCTTCATGAATCAAACAATACTAACTCACATAAGGTTCATTGTGGCACACTGTATTTTGCCAGAAAGCCAGATATGACTTTTCTAAAATAACGTGGTTCACACGAGAGAGAGAGAGTGTGGCAGTGTCAAAAACTGTACTTATTATTCTGTGAATCGTGGTAAAACTTTCCCTAAATATGGACTGTGGTCCAGTGGGTACAAAGCAAATTGATTGTGTGGCAATGTTAACAAAACCATTCACATTTTTTTTTCCTCAGTAAATATATAACCTTTACACTTTCTTACAACTAATATTTTAAAAAGTAACAATATCCCCATATGAGTGCTGTAAAAATTTTCAACAAATTCATTCTAAATTTCAGAACATCTGTTAAAATGTAGAACAAATGTATTATTTATATAATCATTTTGGCCCACCATTTGAACCGAAATGGTGGACCTAATGTATTCCAGGACTGGGATGCAATCGGCCAAGCATTTGAATGGCACTGTTGTTTTCCAGTAGACATTAATGGAAAGCAAAAAAACACTCCACAAGAGAAGAGACTTGTTGGTTGTGAGAAATGAGAGAAAGGCACCAACATGACATGTGAAAACTAAAAACCTACGCGCCAATAACACGGAAAAGAAATGAATGCAAGGATTGAACAGAGCCAACATCCTCTGCCCCTACTCCATAATCAATAAATGCAGAATTAAAAGCTCCAGATTTGTCTCCGTGAGCTTTTTCACGATTTCTGTACATCCTTAAATTAATATTCCAACTTCCTTCGTCGTTAGGTTGTTGGAGTTTTTAATGCAACTTCTTCAATGCCATCCCTCTCTCTCTCTCTCTGTGTGTGTCCTAATAGCTAGCCCTTCTCATTATAGAAACAAGACTAGAGCTTCACTTAGTAACACACACACACACACACACACTCATTGGTCCCCCCTAGCTTCCTTCTCCAACCATCTTCAAATCTTCTCCCACCTTATATATATCTATATATTCATGTATATAATCACTTTATATGATGGTTTCATTTAACAAGTCATAAGAAGCTAGCTTTCTCTTATATATCCATTTTCTATTTCATTCCATTAAGTTAATTTCTGTTCTTAAAACTTTATTTTTTTAGGGTGTTGATGTGTTTAATTTCTTTTGTGGTTTCCAGGCAGGTAAAAGATGTTGAAATGTCGGAGAATGGTGACGGGGATTAATGGATATGTTAGACGGGATATTGGTGCGGTTCAATAAGAAAGCCATGGTCAAAATATTTTGGGTTCCGTTTTTTTATTGAGCCGTGCCAATATCACGTTTCATGGATCTCACAGTCCTCGTGTAGCTCTTAATCCCATCAAGGATTTAAAGGTAGTTTTTAAATTGTATTTTAATTTCCTTCATTGTTAAACAATCGGATCAATGTGGTACATGGGTCACTAGCATTTTTTTCTTAATGTAGTTTGTTTAAGTTCTTAATCATGGAATAACAGTAAAGAGATTTGTTGTATGGTTGATTAGATTTCTTAATCATGGAGTATACATCTTTTACAAATAACTTTTTTTAAAAAAATCTTGTTTCTGGAATGTGAATTCATTATAGTTTATCAGCAACAAGAACATGAGACAATATGGAAAATGGTAGTAACAGTTAGAAGACAACAAAAATTACAAGGTGAAGTTGTGATTAGCTCAAGATTAGGAGAGTTTATGCGGTTACTGAGAATTATACATTCAATTTTTGTGGGATTCCAGGTAAATTTGCAGGGAAAATGGCTATATATATATATATATACATATATTCTTGTTCCATGGAAGAATTTAACTTTGATACTCCCCATTTTTTTTTTTGCCCTTTTTTGCCCAGAAATTGTTTTAAAATGTATATTCTCGAAGTCTTTGGACATTGTAAACTACATTGTTTTTACATGTCTAAAGCATTATAGAGACTGACAGTGTATTCAACATGCCAGAGTCCTCTGTTTGGTGATGGTGAAGGCGGCCTTATTTGGCTTAAAGTTAGGCTGTCACGTCTAAGAAAAGATGGAAATATCGTTTGCCTCTCAAAATATCAACAGACCTATTATTTATTTTTTATTTTTATTTATTTTTCTTTGGTTGAAGGTTAAGCGAACATATACCCATACCTTCACTGAGGCTTGACTAGCCGACCTCTCCTTTGAGGAGGAATGTTTGTAACTCGGAAAGTTTACAAGAAATATATGAATCATATCTTTAAAATTGCTATATATATATATATGGATATATATATATATATATATATATATATCCATGCCCAATTGCTATATGTATATATCCATGCCCATTGTATTGATTTTTAAGTTATAAATTTAAATGCAATACGTGTGCTAGTACCAGATTCATAAGACTGCTTGGAAACAATTAAATCTTCATAGAAGTGAAGTGAAGAACTGCAGAAAAGGAAGTACAACCTACAAAGTTGGAGATTTTCTCTCATTTTCTGCACTTAATTACTGGGGGCATGGGCATCTTGAGTTCACATTTCAATAGAATCAGAAGTACTGATATAATGAAAAATGATATTTCTAAAAACTCCTACAAAAAATAACCGAATTAAATTTTGAGCATCATGTCGAGTACATCTAAAAAGAAAGATATTTGAGCCGATAAATTAGGCTTAAAACACTAGGAGAAGGGTTATCTACCCTTAGATATGTTTTAAGTGGAACCCATGTTGTCGCTTAAAATATATTTAAGGAGCTAATAGCCCTTGTGCTAGTGTTTTAAGCCTAACTTATAGGTTAGAGAAGTATTATTCGAGTCTAAATTATGCCGAGTCATGAGAAATCTAACCTAGGAAAGAGATCATACAGGAGAGTATATTCATCACTATATTTGTTGACAAATTTTGGAAGAGAATGGCAACAAATTAAGGCCATTGCGATTTTTTGTATTTTGTTATGATAAGCTCAATAGCCACTGAAAGTGTGACAACTTTACAAGTTACATTTGGGCCCTCCAAGCAGTAAAAAATGTGTGTTGAGAGCCTCTTCCCCTTTCTGACTGCTTTAGCAATCATCCTACTCTTCTCTACTAAATTGGTGAACAGCAAGCCCAAGCACCATCCTCTCTCTCTCTCTCCCTCTTTCTCTCTCTAGACCGTGTGTGATATCGTATGTATTCTATATAAGCACTAATATAACCAAGAAAAGTAGCACAGTTGATCAACTTATCATCCTTCCTGAGTTGGGAAGAACTGCTGGCTGATTTCTCAAAATGCAGCAGTCCACACAGCATTTTCACCTTCTCCACACCGCCGGTGGATCTCTTTAATCCTCTCGACCGACCTACAAATACCGCTGCAGGTCCAATCAAATGAAGCAACACAGATGTTTCCTGCCTGGGCCTTCCACTCACAATCTGCAGTAAAAACTTGCGTCAACTTACAAAAGTCTCTCTCTATATATATATAATTCATTTCAAAATTAATAATTGTTACACTTGGTCATTGATAGATGGTTTTCTTCTCCTTTGAGCCCGAATACAAGGTGCTGAGAGCTCAGTTTTAACATGCCTCATACCATAGATGAAAAGGACACTCAACTTGGAACCTAGGTCTTAAGGGTATGAGCCCAAAAAAATATTGGCATGGAACCGACCTTGCAGCACATAATTTGAAGAAAAGGAAAGTGTTAAACGTGCGCGCATACACACACAAAGTGGAAATCTATGTGTTCATAAAGTAAACTATGCAAAGGTTGAACGCCCATGATTATACGTCAAAAAATGAGACAGCAATTGTCCTATGTAATAAAGGAGTCTGAGCTTGCGGTGGTCCAATATTACTAAATACGAGTATATTACCCATCTTGACATCTATCAATAGTGTATTATTTGATTCGGTTCTCCTCATTTTGGTTCTAGAAGTGTACCAAAGCCGTCTACGATAAATTATTCTCACTTTCTAAAAAAGAATAAATTTCATTAGCAATGGACATTCAAACAATTTAAATTATGGTGTGAGGTATCCATCTTGGGGTGATTTTAACATGATAAGTGCTTGCCCCCTGCTTGTTTGTGACATTTGGACCCACATTCTACAGCTTGACAGTAAATTATTGCAGTATGCATGTGAGGCTTATAGTGTTGCTTCTAGAAGAGGGATCTATATAGCTGGCCCCGAGTTGTTGGGATCAAGTTTTGTTGGTGTTGGACCCTTGTTTGAATAGTATTCCCGAGGTCACAATCTTCCCTTCTATTCTTTAGACCACACAACCTCAAAACATAAAGAAAATGTAACGTTCCATGATAATTTAAACTTACCAGGTGGTGTTCCGCAACATAATCTCCGGTCATCAATATGCTTCACATTGAGTCCAATAAACCAGGATCCCAGTGAAACGTCCTCGTTAGCATACTTGTGCAGTACATGCCTGACATTATTGTGAAATAGTAATTGTCACCAATACAGTATGACAAAATGTCAAAAACCTTCAAATCCTATATTAGTTTTTTGTATTTTATTTATCGAACTCAAATAAAAGCGGAACTTAACTGGTTTATTGAAATATAAGTTGCCAAATCATTTGAAATGGCATATAATTGTCCTGTAGCATGACGGAAGTACTTGTTTCCTGCCTCCCCGAATTTCCAATACTCTGGTTCGTGGTACCTCACTCCCCTGTTCCAAATCACGAGTAAGAATCAATCTAATTGTTAGAGCATTTTATCAGCATTCAGCAACTACTTTAAGAAACTGTGGCTTACTTCTGAGAAAGGACAGGTCCAGATTTCATGCATCCGATATATACACGTGGATTTTTCCGGTGTCTAGCTAAAGTTTCTCCAAGTGTTGCTGCAAGAATTCAGAAGAAGTTGGACCGAATGTGACAAAGGACAATAAATTATAAACAACAAAACCTACTGCTATAACTTCTAAAAGGAAATATAATGACATTTTCAGAAGAAACCAGTGTAATAGTTCATATCAATCTTCAGGAGGCTTAGATAAACATAAACATGGTCACCTACAGATTTTCTACAGGAGTGTATTTACTATTTCCCAAGTTCGAGTGTTTTTGCATCAAAAGTTAGGATTCTAAAACTTACTGTATACAAATTATGGTTATTCTCAAATAAAGAAATAACCAACTAAATGAATTTCAGATTGTTATATGTACCACCAACAAAATGAATTACCTATATTTACATGGACATCGTCGTCAACTTTTATGTAGAAATCTGCATCCCACAAAGCAACAGCGGCAGCAAAATATGTCTTCGTCTTGGCAGACAATTCAAGGTAGCCCTCAACATGATCCTGATCATATGGTAGCAACAAAACATTTGCTAAAATTAATATTATACTGAAAATATTTATAAAATGAGCATACTGTGCAGCAGAACAGAAAATAAATAATAGAAGAACCAGAGACATGATATTACCAGCCGCAACAAATCTCCATGCTTTTTATCCTCTGCTTCAACAGCTCTGTCCAGTATACCACCTACGGTGGCACTGGTAACGGGAAAACAGTTAATTCAGTTAATCAGAAAATTAAAGTCGCACTTTATGAATTCAGATGAAATTTGATCAAACTATATATCTCTGGAGTATTCTTTAAATCAATAAAATTTATATGATATGATGACGTAATATGAGTTCATAACAAAGGCTTCTGCCCAAAGAAAATGGAATTTATGCTATCTTCTAGGGAATAGGATTTTGTCCTATAATCGAAAGCAATGGTACCTATTAGAGGCACTTATATGATGAAAAAAATTTCCGGTAAGTTATAAATGAAGTTATTTAGTTCAAATTAACCTAGAAGACACAAGAAAGAGGATTAGATAGTGATCATGATCTTGAGTTCATGACATATATATTGCGATGCTAAATTTGATATGATTTACAAAGGGAGTTCTGAATGTAGAAGTAAAATCCTTCCATTGTGTTAATTTCATTATATGAAGGCACAATGACATCTTGTAGAATGGAGTTCTAACATAAACAAATTCATCCCTATAATCAATATCATAGAATGATACTTCTATGGAATGATACTATGTCCATACAACACACCCTCAATATCAGGGCAACTACAAGAGGCTTACTTGTGGTGATACAGTTAATCTTCCTGGTTCTTTGGGGGTGAGCAATCCAATTTGATTATACCTGTGGTGCACCCAAAAATACCATGTAGCTTCCATTCTCTAACTAATGGTTTTGTTTTCTGTGATGACCATCACCCCTTTTATCATGTATAACAGAAGGCCAATGAGCTAACAAGCCCATTAGCAGTGACTAAATGAGGGATTATGAATTCGAAAAATTAGTGAAAATGCAATCTCAATCTTAAATTTGTAGTTTGTTTTCCGTATCCTAATTTCACACATAAAATAAGTGTCTACTTATCAACATAACATTGAAAGAAAATTAGACCCCTACCTATGACCAATGACAAAGCGAACTATAATGCCCTTCTCTTCCTCCAACTTCTTTCTTTTTTCACCTGTTTCATTTTTTTCCCCAGAATAAACAATCACGAATCATCATGTCAGTTCAAACAAGCAACTTAACATCAACTAAAAAATTAAAAAAATAAATAAAATCCAGAAGTTGGAAGAAACAAAAGCAAGGGTGTTCCAAAAATGAACCTTGTGGCATCCATGTAGCACGAACTGAATCTCTTCTCTTCCGGCTGCTAAAAGCAGTATTAATTCCTATAACCATAAAATATTTTCGTTTTCCAGGTGAGCTAGTCTTCCTTAATTCTTCTGATATAGGAGAGCCGCTGATAATGGACTCCCGAGCTGCCCCTGCAGCAGCTAATTCCATCTCTAAATTTGAAATAGTTTTGTCCAATGTCCTACATTCAATGTACTTCCATAAGGTCCATTTTCAGGATAATCAAACATCACATGGAAGTATACCAACAATATGAAATTTACATTCAATGAGCACAAGCAGAACGTACTCGATAGCATGATGAGTCTTAGAAACTTCCCCAAGAATGTCCTTAGATTCATGCTTTACGTCCTTCTGATGCAACTGGAGGAGCCCAATTGTTTCATAACATCAAATAATTTGAAAAAGAAATACTCAGCATAAAATAAAGAATCAAAAATAATGGATGAACAGTAAGGTGATTACACAAAATTAAGAGAAGGATGGAGACACTCACAGTTTTCGGATCACAGCCCTCTGAAACTAACTTTAGTCTTTCAGCTTCTACAGCAGTTGTCCTCAAAAGACCTTTAGATACCGGCACTGCCCCCATTCTGTCACCATATTTTTTTAAATGATTAAAAGTAATCATGCTCCAAAAATTAACACCCTCAACAATAATTAAACAATGTTGTACCCATAATATTTCAGATGAAACAATTTTTGGTAATAATAAAAGCAAATTCGGAGCAACAAATTTAAAATTGCAGCAAATATTTCAAACTCCAATATCCACTACGGATAAAAGGAAGAAAGAGAGAAATAATCTAAATAGTATATATATATATATTTTTGGTGGAAAGTAAATCTCATTAGAGACTTGACTTCCAGTTATCATTACCGGTAATAAACTTAAATGAGTATGGCGAATTATTGCAGTTGTTGTCAGAGGCCTTGGTGCCCATTTATAATTAAGGGACATGGGTAGAAAAATTGCAGGTTGCAATTCATCACGGTCCACAAATGTAACCTTTACTATAAGATGTCAATATGATTATCAAGTATGGACCATGCATGGTCCATACACATAAATGAAGGCATAAATGACATAAACTTGTGCCGTGTAGAGGTACCTAAACTAGCTAGAATTATTCTCATCAATAGCCAAACTAAGCACCAAAAAGGAGAATGATATTGAACATAAGACCTAATCTGTCTGCAACCATACCAAAAACCCTAATATAGATCTATGGCCTTCACTGAAAAATTAGCAAATATATAAGTATAAGAAAAGAAAACATAAAATCTGAGAAAAAGGAATGCTGTCATCAATAATGAAAACCCAAATTGGAACACTTTTGAGCACCATCCAAAGTTCAAAATATCAAAGTTCTTTAATAATCATTGGTACCCATATCACCAAAACAGAGAGCAATCAATATCAAAAACAACACAAATAAAAATTTGGGGAATATGGATCTCAAAAATAAAAAAATAAAAAAAAATAAAAATAGAAGAAAAATGAAAAGAGAGAGAGAAGATAAATAGTAAACAGTAATTCTTAACAGATTTTCAAATTGATAAAAGTGCTCACACTTATTTCACCAAACTAATAAAATCAAAAGTTGATCATAATCCAACAACTAAACACCATAAAAAGTGATAAGGGTCAATTCAATGATTAAAATAAAACTGTAAAAATATATATATATATATATATATACCTGTTGGTGAAGAGCATTCCAGAACAGAAACAGCCAATACAAAGAAGAAGTGTCCATTTCTTCGATACAACACTTCTTGAGTGTTGCTCAACTCTGTTCTTCATGGACATTTTCTTATCTAATTCTCTTTATCAAGCAAAACCCATATACAATACGGCTGAAACGAACAAAATTGAAGAGACCCAGAAGCAGAATCAGCCAAAGTACTCAGAATTCAGAAGCAGAATCAATTGAAAGTGAGCTCTGGAACAAAATTTGTGGAAGAGAGAGAGAGAGTTGAGGGAGAGAGAGAATATAAGGGGAGAACGGGTGTCCTGTTTTTACTTCTAATTTGTTCCTTTCTTTTATCCTTTGCTTTGTTCCCTCTTTCTCTCTCTAAAAACTCTCACTATTTCTCTCTCTAGACTCTCCTCTCTCTCTCCAGCACACTTTGCAGGGAAGGGACGTCGAACAGAAGTGAGACGACCCACTAACTGCCCTGTTCTTATACCAAATTTAACAAACGGTCCTAATCGTAAACTCTAAAATGGCCTCTGTAACAGTTTCGCTACAGTGTCTTAAGTGCCCTTCTACAGTTCTTTTAGATGTTTAATTCTCAGCAGTTTCAGGAAAATATATATATATTGCTACCTTCGCTGGGTGTGTATAAATAAAGAAAAACACTGGCTCTCAGCTCAGGTTGTGACACGTGTACCATATTATGGAATATAGTCTTCTTATGGTAGTTCAATTAAAAACTCAATACTGTAAATTTTTTTTTTAAGGGCATTCAAATTTTATGCATGTTGACCTAAAATTCAGATGTAGAAAATTTTTAATTAATAAATAATTGCACGTTATAGGAGTCAATTAACAAAGAAACCTCGAAGCAGTTGAAAATCAATATTAAAAATTTAAGTATATTCATTGTATATAGTTAGATGCAACTAATTTATTTTATAGACAGACTTAATATATATATATATATATATTTGCTACAATACCAAATAATGCTCTATAAATTTTAGTAGTTGATTTGCATACAACAATAATGTACCATTAGTCGTCGCTTGGAAGTCAATGGTACTTTGTTGTTAGATGGAGTTGACTAAATTGGGGCATTCACTTGTGGAGGAGACCTTATAACGTGCTGAACGGGGCAAATTGTTGATACGATATTGCAGCAAACTGAGGGCATATTTGGCAACCCATTTTTATTTTGTACACACTTTGATCTTTCTTAACTAGTAAGTTGCAAAGCTTTTTAGGAACATGTTGTAATATTATTAATTTTAAAAATCTTGCAATAAATTTTACATTATCAAATAATATTTTAATCACTATTGAACTCGATTAGAAAGAAAAAAAAAAAAATAATAATAATAATAATAAATTGTTCCTACTTCGAAAGAAAACTAAAATGCGATAGGAAACATTGTCAAATATGCCCTTCCACCCCCCCCCCCCCCCTCCCCCCATCACCATTGAATACAATCCACAACAAAAATATTGATAACAAAAACGGTTATCAAATAGTGCCCCCACTCCCCCAAATCTCCATATACCACATAAATGCTTGATTTTTTACTTTAAATTTTTATAAAATACTGTTGAATTACAGCTTCTGATAATTAAATTTGTAGTTATTATATTCCTTTAACCGTCTTGAATAGCAAGAATCACATTAGATAATTACCTTTAGGGTGCGTTCAGCTGCATGAAATAAAATTCTTAGAATTAGAATTAGAATTAGAATTAATGGAATTTGAGAAAATTTTGATTCAATTTTATTAGTTGTATTTCTCAAATTCTACCAATTTTAATTCCATTCAGCTGAACACGCCATAATTATTATTTGATATTATGTGTGCAATGTGACCTAAAAGAATTCTAGGGTACCACTTAGTATCTTTCATTTAAAAATAAAAAATAAAAAATCCCACAAAAAATGCTTTCAAAACACCATAGCTGCCTTTTAATAGTTTGGTTACTATACCGAATTGTAATTCAATCAAAGCTGATTTGTTATTGAAATAGCATGTTGTATTTGTCTTTATTGCAACAAAGTAAGCAGTAGGGGTACTGTACCTAAGAAGGGCATGTCTTGTTTATATTTGAACTCAAATTATGTTGGCTTCAATAGGTCCAAAATAACTTGGATGCACCATATGCTTCAAAAGTAATGTTTATTAATTCCACTTTTAAAACGAATCCAAATTAAAGTGTTTGCAAATGCTAAGAATACTTTCATTGTATTCTATCATTTAATTTTGAATCAACCTTTATTCCATATGATTTACTTATGGTGAATATCTTAAGAATTCATGCAAATTTAAAAGAAATTAATACATGATTTGTGACCAAGAATGGATCGAGTGTGAACAAATTTGGTGTTACAAGAGGAGTCTTGTCCTACGTTGAATTTGTAAGTAAAGGAGTATATATAATATGGGATGTGTGAAAGTTTCACCTAATAGATTAAGCCGTTACAGTTAGTATCAAAGTAAGACTAATTCTTTGATCCGGTGTTACCCAAATGTTGTACGAGAAAGCGTTGTGAGTGCAGGTAAAAAATAATGTTATAAGGGGAAAAGGCACCCCAACCACATCACACTATTTTCTAACTATTTTTAAAATTGTTATATCTTATAGTTTTCATTATACCATATGATTTGAGATTAAAAATATTGAAAACACTTCAACATTGACCCAAGAGAGCAAAAGAAATTTGTTTCACATTCCATTAATTTGGTGTTAAAATTATAAACACTAGGAACTAGTTATATATACATATATGTATAATTATATAGTCATTAAAACCAGTTTAATGCTTTATAATGGCCATTGTGCATTATGAAGTCTGTTTATGTTTTCTACAATCTAAAAGAAAATTAGTCAAAAGGTAGATGACCTAATCAAAAGGAAAAAGGCCATTAAGTTGGACTAACTAGTGGTGAGACTAGGAAAAGCCCCATCGGTCATCACTACGATTGGTTCCGGGCACGTGATCTCCCCCAGCAAGGCCGCGTGAGTAAAGAAAGGCACGTGTTCAGATCCAGAGGGCTTAAACGTGGCAGTCTGTTATTGGTGGTCCCCTTCAGAGTGGCACCTTACCTTGTTCATCAATTCATCAACACTCTCCATTCTTTCTCACGTGGATGCAGGAAAAGTCTGCACATACGAGGGCCCCTCTCACCAGCCAATCTGACACGTGCCATGATGTGGTTAGCTCGTGTCCTTGAAAACTACTCCTAACAACTAAAAACGGACATCCCGCTTGGTACCCACAAGGGCAATTTTGTCATTTTACTTAACAGGTTGCTCTTTTGTAATTTAAAAATATCCACACAAATATGAATCATGAATTTCATACACTAAAACCGTGTCATTTCAGTGCACATGCACAAAATTTCGTATCGGTGCTCTTTATAGTATACATGGCGTCGGTGTAAATAATTCTTTTAACTAAAAAGTTAAAAGAATTAATACAACTTACTTAAATAAAAAATAATTAATAACAAGAATAATTCAGACAAAAATTTATAATGCTCAATGATCTTTATTAGAAGTCTAAGTCTTTATTTATATACAAAAAGATGGTAGAATTATGGTAGGATTCGCTTCGGTTGTCCTCCAATTTATTCTTTACTTACAAAGTTTTTTTCTTCTATAATTCCTTCCATGCAAGGCTTTTCCCATACAGAACTTCTTTCCATATAGGATTCTTTACTATGTAAGACTTTTCACATAAAGAATTTCCTTATACGAAGGATCATTTGTTAAGGAGGACTTGATTAATTTGAATTGAACTTGGATTCTAAGGTAAATGGGTCGGATGGATTTTTTAGCAGGTCGAGAGATTAACATCAATAACCTTAGATCGAAATTAACTTTATTTGGGCTTGATATTGGACTATTGGAAAACCAATGAGGTAATACATTATTTTAATGACGTGGATGATTCTTATTGGAGGGGAATTTTTCCTTCCACAATTAGATTATTCGGTGTCATCAAACTGACACCATTTTGATGCACACCGAGTTTCCTTAAATGCGAAAATGTATATTAGGATTCTCGCAATATATATTTAGATTGCGGTGTTATCAAAATGACATCATTTTGATTCACAAAGAAGGCACCCAATTCCCTCCGCACAAGATGGGATCCGGATTCTATGCATCATACTTCCTATGTTATTGTTGTTGTTTGTTTGTTTGTTTGTTAAAAAAAAAAAAACATTTGAATACTTTTTATTTCGAAATGTAAAAAAATTAACAACTAAAAGTTTTGGTGGTACAAATATTCTAGCTCAATCCCAAAATTGTATACATATAGGCTTATATGGCTGTATTTTTGTTTATTGGGATGAACGTCCTTGGAACATGCTCCTTGGATGTACGCCATGGAGTTTGTAAGATTCAATGAATATTTTTTGAAGAAATGTGAAATGCTACGTGCTAGATGGGCAACCATCAACCGTTACATATCTCGACTTTCACAATCAATTTCATTTTATCCAACATTTTTTCTTTCAAAAATTATATAAAAACTTTTGGATATATATATATATATATATATATATATATATATATATTTTACCACGGTACGTGGTTTGTTGGGTCCTAGTGAATTAATCAGAGATACCAGATGTCGGCAAAAAAAAAAAAAAAGGAATCAAGATTAATTATGTTATTCCTGTAAGTTAGGGTTTATCAATAATGGTGAACTTATAATATGGTTTGGATGCTCCCGCAGTTCCAAAAATACTCAGTTTGTTTTGGATTATAGTGAATTAGTATAAAGACTACCATATACATATATATATATATTGTTGTCACCAATCAAAACTATGGTGCCGAGGATAAATTGACCTATCACTTGTCTAAATCAAAAATCTTTTTAAAAGACACACAATGTGACTTACAGAGTTTCAGATAACTAATACTTGTGGTTGTGGGGTGTATATATATATATATATGGTTATGCATGTGATTCTTCTATATTCAGTAAAAAGATTGTTAAGCTCTAGATCTCATGTGGACCGCTTACAGTTCAATTTGATTATGTTAAACCATTTTAAAATTTACATAATCAAATTGACAGGTTGGTTCAGGTATGTTCTTAACTTGCTACAATCCCACTGCAAAAAGGGTAATTATTAATACAGAACACAATCACAAGCATTTGGATCATTGACATACATTTTTTTTTTTGGGAGCTAAATAAGTATCACTATTCAACTCGTTTTAATTCGTGAAATATATTTTGATTCATCAATTTGATTTTGACCTAGATAAGCACTCGAATTCAATTATTTGAAAGCTGAGTTTGGAGGTTTTAAATACACGCATTAAACAATTTGTGTTAACACTCCAAGTTTGGTAATTAAATAGCTGGCTTGATGTTTAATTTGGTTAATTAGATACCTCGCTTGTTGGGGTCCCCCATGCTTTATTGTACTATAAGCTCTCTAAGGAATGTAAAGGCTGCCTAAGCACTACCTTATGTTTGTGCTCTGTCTGCCAAGTTTGAAAGTTTCTTCAAAAAGCATCTCTTTTTTGGACTATTACGTAACCCATTCAATTTCATACCTTCATCAGTTCGGTTTTTATTTTTTCTTTTTTTTTTTTTATTTTTATCACCAGACAAGAAATTCACACACACACACACACGTTCAATTCAATTGCAGAACATTTATTAATTATTGAACATAAAATGAATAAAAAAATAGTAAAAGAATCTTGTTTTCGTGTAACAAAAACCAATTGCTGAATTAATAGAAAGAATGCTGTTACAAGGTAAGTATAATTTATAAACTAATAAACATGAATTAAGATGGTGAAGAAAAATATAATAATGGCTTGGTTTACTCCAAATTATAGCCTTAAAATAGAATAAAAGAGGAAAATAAGTTCATGTTGGCGGATTCTAAATAGTTTGGACAAGATTTTGCTAAGTTACTTGTCAACAATTAAATAATAATAATAATAATAATAATAATAATAATAATAGAAGAGTTGAGTTTTTAATAGTAAGACTACTAAGTTCCATCGTTTATACTATTATAGAATTGTAACTTAAAATTTTTTTTTCTTTTTCACGGCAAGAATAAAGATTTATTTCATAGGAAATCAATTGGTTACAAGCTTATCCCGATCCTGAATACCATCAAGCAAAACATCAGTAAAAGTAAACTCTCTATGTGACCCCAAAGCCAACTGACCCCACTTGATGGGCCAAGTCATTAGTTTCACGCTACAAAAAAGAAGAACGTTATTCAAATCATCAACCACAATATTTAAATGTGGAGGGCAAGGACCAGACTTCAGAATAGCTTTCACCACTACCTCCGCATCGGTTTCAAAAATGACTCTATCAAAACCCCATTGAATTGCCTGAAGCAATCCTTTTCTTAATACCAAAGCCTCTGCAAGAGAAGGATGTGAAACACACAGGAAAAAAAAACCCAGCTCTTCTCAAAACAGAACCAGCATGATTACGAACCACAATACCTCCCCCAGCAATACACGATTTAGAATCAAAAGCGGCATCACAATTAATCTTTACAAAAGAAATAGGAGGACAATTCCACACAATACTTTGACGCGCAACATGCCATTTTGAATTTCTGGAAGAAAGATACGATGTGTGCGATGAAATGAAATAAATTCCAATAAATAACCATTTGTGATGAAATGAAATAAATTCCAATAAATAACTAGTGTTGGAAGTGGTGCTCTTTTGAGGCCATGAGGCCCATGACTAGTTGTTTCATATCCTAAAAAGAGTGTTTAAGTTTATTCATGTGTTTTTATTTTTTATTTTTAAAAAAAAATCTTGTTTTTGTTAGAAAAATAACATGTGAAATTAAAAAAATCGGGTACGAGCTGTTGGCAACATTTAATGGTCCGAAAGAGTCTAAAACCCCATTTAATGTTCCGAAATGAAAATAAATTAAATGGGGATGGTGATTGAGAATTGAGATGTGGCACGGAGTCAAAAGTCTTGTGGGTAAGCTCAATTAAGTCAGTCCACAACTAAAAGGAATATTAAATATTTTCCCCTCCCAGAGGCCCAATTTAATGTCGGTGAGTTTTGCATGACAATGATGATAGACCTAAAGTCCAAATTAAGATTTTGCTCACTCAAATTCTGTCACTCTTGATTGCCGGACTACATGTGAATTGCGCCTTCTCATTTCTAAGCTCCTTTTTTGTATCACCCGGTCAACAACTTTTGGTTCCTAATTTTCTTTGGTGACGTTGACTAAAGAGTTCTGCAATAAAAATAATAAATAAATAAATAATACAAAATCTCTTTCAATAAATGGCACAGACATAGATTACAATCAATTTAGAATTGAAGTGGTTTGTTGCCTTACCACACCTCAAATTAAGGCCCTCAGTCCAACAACATTGGGTTCATTCAGAATCGGACCAGTCTGTCCAGTTTCATCATTCTGGACTGGGCTTTTCATGTATGAGGTGACGCAAGACTAGAGCAACAAATAAAGCGAATCTAGCTCAAATTTCGAGTTAATTTGCTTTAAAATGTGTTTGATAACCATAAAAATCACTTTTCTTCAGGAGGTCACATAAGACTATAACTACAAATAAAGCATAAAAAAACACTTATAAAGCAAATCGTGCTTAAATTTAAATTGAGAACCAAAAAAATCACTTTTAGTTGGTAGCAATAACATAGTTGAAGTTATGCACTAATAGCACTTATAATTACTTTTAACATGTCAAATAATTCATTTTGACACTTCTATCCAAATATCACAAATCTAATTCAAAACCCTCCCATATAGATTTAATGTTGGACAATACCACTCTGACACTTGTCTCCGTTAAGAAATGAATCTTAAATCAAATTTGGGCTTTTAACTCGTTACGTTGAACAAGCACGGGGCAAGTGAACTTACTTTAGTTATGTTTAGACGAAGCCCAATACATGTTCACCGATAGTTGAGTTTGGACGAAGCCCAATACATGTCATAAACCTAAGTTCGGCATTAACTATAAACGGGCCGCCATAAAACCATTTTTTTCCCTCTTCCGTCTCTTAAACATGTCTTGAACAGTTCAATTTCAAAGTGGAAACCATTGTCGAGAACAAGAGAAACAGATACAGAACCAGAGAGAAGACGAAAATGGAATCCAGGGACAAAATCAAAATCGCATTCACAATCGCTTGCTTCGCAGCAATCTCTGTCTTCTTCACAACACAATACCGAAAGCATCGAAAGCAAAAACAATCTCCCAATTCTTGTTACTTGAAAACAGAATCCAAATCACAAAACACTTTCAAGCGTGTTCTCGCCGATAACTCCTACTCTCCATTCAAGCACCTCAAGCACAACCACTCCAACAGCGGTACTTTTTCAAAAAAATTTGTGACTTTGTGTGTGTGTGTGTGCGTGTTTTTTTTTTTTTTTTTTTTAAGCCCTAGCTAAATTTAGGGGTGTTTTTCAGCAGAGGTTTCTTCGAAATCTCATCCATTTGAAACGGAGATCACAACTTTGTTGAAGAATCCTGAACTCGAATTCAGCTTCATTGATGAAAATATGGATTTAAAAATGGGTGATTCATACGTTTGGGTCGAAACAGAGTCGCAGTTACGAGAGCTTGTTGATGTGTTGAGTGGAGAGAGAGTGTTTGGTGTTGATACTGAACAGCACAGCTTGCGTTCCTTTCTAGGTTTTACAGCTCTTATACAGGTAAAGCTTTAATTTTGTCTCCCATGGACTGTATATGCATGTATGTCTCTCTCACTCACAGACAGTCAAACACACATATTTGAACAGATTTCTACTCAAAGGGAAGACTATTTGGTGGACACCATAGCTCTGCACGATGTAATGAGTATTCTTCGCCCTGTTTTTTCCAATCCTGATATTTGCAAGGTAATTCATGAGTATATGCTTCATTGAGCCATTGATTTTATGTGAATTCAATTGTTACTATATATACTTTTCTCTCTTTGCTACATTTTATGAATATTCAGTTGGTTTGTCTACAGCTGACACAATAACTGTTTTGGTATAATGTGGTTCATGTTAGGTACTCTCATTTGGCAAGACTGAGAATATAGAAATGATAAAAATGTGACTAAAATTATTTTTTTATTCTTTCTTCTTTATTGATGAAGCTTCAATTTAAATTGGATTGATTGCAAACTATGGTTCATTTATTTTTATTTTTATGATAATCATGTTATAACGGAAAGAAATTTTACTGTGTAGGTCTTCCATGGTGCTGATAATGATGTTCTCTGGCTACAAAGAGATTTCCATATATACATTGTTAATTTATTTGATACTGCAAAGGTGAGATTTAATTATTTTAGGTATTCTGTTAGATATGTGGGATATGTATATGTTGTATTGGACCTTCTATGCTTTCTTGATTGATTTATCAGTAAAAGAAACATGGAGAGGGAGAGGGAGAGGGAGAGGGAGAGGATTAATGTAGTAATTATGTGGCATCTAATGTGCCATTTGATTTGTCTATTGATCTTATATTGCAGGCTTGTGAGGTGTTGTCAAAACCACAGAAGTCATTGGCGTACTTACTTGAAACATATTGCGGTGTTGCCACGAACAAACTTTTTCAGGTTTGGGTTTGAAGTTACTTTTGTATGCCTGCCCTCCTTTCATAACACATAATGTAATATTATTATATTATGTACACAATGCTTATTTTCTGGTTAAAAGTGAAGAAGTATTTTCTAGAGAAAGGAGGAAAAGGAATCATCCAAAGCTAAACACGCACACAAAATAAGCCTTTGTTACAACTTTGCATAGGAGAGACACTAAGTCGCTAACATGGGGGAATCTCATTGTTAATGATTTCAAGTTCCTATGTAGCAATTTCACATGTACTTGTGTGACACTTAGGTTTGCTTTTGGGGTTTCCATGTTTTGAACTTCTACATGAAGTCAAATTGATTTGGTCATGGTGTTTATTGACAACATCTGTGCATTCTAATATACCATTAATTTTGTGCTTCTATCTCAATTTATTAATGATAAGCCACATAAGTTCTCAACTTCTAACATCATTTAGTTGATGTCTGTTGAAGCGGCCAATTTGTTTGTTATTGTTATCACTGTCAATTACAATTTGTAACTCACATTTTTGGTTATAAAATGTCTGAAAATTGTAAATTCTTGGATCACTTTCTTAGTATGAACTCTGATTAAAAATGCTAAGAACTTTTTCTACTATTATCTTTACATAAAAGAATATCAAAAGGGTGTCAAGTGCAAGTGTGCAACTCATGTGCATATCATGCATGCAGATTGCAGAGTAAAAGTTACAAAACCATGCATAAGAACAAAATGACCCAAGTCTTTATAAAAATGGTGTAGTGTAAAAAAAAAAAATTCCTATTATATAAGATGTGCGAAAACCCCCCTGATGTTCAAAAACCCCCTTACATTTTCCAAATTGAGCAAATATGGACAATCTGTGAATTTGATGAATGAAATGACAAAAATATCCTTATGGTATAATTATATATATATATAAAAAGAGGAGATACAAAATGTCCCAAAAGGACATGACGTGAGATCCCAGGAAATTCTTGCATGTGAGATCCGCAATGCAGCTAGTAACTTCTTCGTTCTTCCTCTCAACAACCTCCGAGTAACAAACCCACTTCTATTCACTCTCATCCCTCTATTTGTGCCTCAGTCTAACCGTACCAACGGCACCTCCTCGCTATCCTGTCCCCCGTAGGCATACGTTGGCGACGACAACATCGAGTAGTCTTCGTCTGAAGAAGTGGTGGAGCCACCGCTGAGGAGGGCGGTGAGGGTGGTGGGGCTGCCGTCCGCGGCGGCAAAAAAGTGTTGGAGGTTCTTTTGGATTAAGTTTTCTGGGTGCAGTGGGAATAGCTTGAGTTGATGGTGGTTGTGGTGGGGGGTGGTGGCGGTCGTTGAGAGAGAACGGAGATGGCATCCAAACAAGGCCCTTTGTGTGTTCAAATATATAGAAATCTGTGTGGGGCATTTTTGTCACTAAAAAAGGGCAATTTCGGGTTCTCAAAATAATCTGATGTTGGAAGTTAGAAATATAGCGGAGGGAGCAATTTGCAACAAATTTTCAAATGTTTGGGGAGTTATGCACATACTAAATTGGAGGGGTGTTTTCTGCTTATTTTGTATATAACATGGTTTGTTTTTTTGGGCACCTTACCCTTATAAAATTGACACAAGGATGATACGACCTTTTTTTGTTATCCAGCATAGTATTAAACCCAACAAAGCAGTTATGATGTAAGCTTGAATATCAGAAGCCTATTTCTATCTTCTGTTTTTTAGCTGGAAGATACGGAAAATTTTCATTAAATGTTGATGGTTGGAAAAATGATATTGTGTTAACAGTCCAATGTTTTGGTACTCTCTCTCTCTCTCTCTCTCTCTCTCTCTATAATTGTAGCGTGAAGACTGGAGACAACGTCCACTGACCATAGAAATGGTGCAATATGCTCGAACAGATGCACATTATTTATTATATATTGCACGTTGTCTTGTTTCAGAGCTTAAGCGGCAGGATAACGGTACATTTCATATCTATGTCTATTTAAGACATTTCTACATTTATTTTGTTGTGTAAAAAATAGAGATATTGATTTAATGAGTTCTTAGCATAACAATTAGCCATATTATCAATTAATTACGTAAAAATTTGAAGTAAAATTGGTTATAAATATTTTAGTGTAGCTCTTAGGGAGACTTCACACTGTTAAAATGAGAAAAAAAAAATCTGGATCAAACATAAAGATATAATGGTGAAAACATTTGCTGATGTTAGATTAAACAGGAAAAATTAATTGATTTTAACTAAAAGGAGTAATTTTTCTTTTGAAACTTCTAATTTTACATCTTCTAATTTTCAATGCATCAAAATTCTAAAAATAATAGTGTATCAGAAAATTCAGCTTGTTGCGATGATGAATTCCATTTTGTTCTTGAGGCTAGTCGTCGTTCAAACGCGATCTGCTTGCAACTTTTCTCAAAAGAGATTGAAGCTTGTCCAGGAGAGTATGCTGCATCATCGATAATTTCCCGTTGTTCGAATGATCAAGGACTTATTTGTGATACTAAGGTTTGGTGCTTTACATTATTTAGTTTCTTAGATTTTTTTTTCCTCAGAAAAAATAGTTTGTCGTTATCGGTCGAAGATAGCATGCTTATGTGTAAACATTTTCATGGTTTCTTCTTTCAGTTTCAGGATCTTGTGAGACGATTGTGCACTTGGAGGGATTTAATGGTTTGTATTTATATATCCACAAGCTTGTCTCCTAATTCGAGACTAGTATACTTGCTGTACGGGGAATGAAAATCTTCTTTGATGAATAAAATTGCAACAGCATTGATTTCCCTTGGGAAAGCTTTATGAATGACTAATATCTTGCATATAATATTTCCGTTTCTCTCACTCTCTCTCTTGGCTGTTAAAATTTTGATTAGTAAGAAATTTTTGAGATAAATTTATATTTTTGTGTCTGACTTTCCTTTCTCGCAAATAACCATTGTTCATGTGCAAAAATTGACTTCCTCAGACACAACTTCTTGTGTTCTCTATATGTGTATTTGGAACGAAGTTCATTTCACCCTGGTGCACCTCATCCACTGTGTGTGGAGAACAGATGATTTTGCAACTCTAAACTTTCCCTAGCTGCTCCATTAAATGAGACTAGTACTATAGACCTAAAAATATTTCTCCTAATCCATTTATGTATTACCCAGGGCCTAATCCACTTTCATGATCAAAATTCAATTCATTTGTTAATAAGAATTCAAGGGTGCTAAATAAATGTTTCTGGTTATGGCTTTTACGTTAGTCAAAGGAACCCACTGAACATGCTTCAGTGAGGGTAGCTTTTCTGCCTTTGTTGAGTTCTCAATGCCAATAAACTAGAAAGATACAACTCTTCCTTCGATCATTTTTCTTTCTAAAATTCCTAATTGGGTGGTACTAATTAAAAGAACCACCCCTCCCCCCCAAAACCAAAACACACGCACAGTAATTGAACCTCAAACTCTGTTGTTCACAAGGTTGTGATGCTTCAGCCACTGCTGTGCTGCTGTAATTTGTTCTTTATAAGATGCACATGTAAGGGTGATAAGATTGGATGATAGTTATGATACTTGATGACTAAGATTTCTATCCAATTATGTATTACCATTTACTAGAATGAAGCATAGTAAATTGCACAATAACACATGCGTAATTACAAACAAGGATGGTTCAGTTGGTATCCTTATTGGGTATCCAGGTATTGTGGGGTTTCAGCAGGCTTTGGTTTTGGTTCCCATGCAATGCATTTTACCAATTGTGTATGAAAAGAAACAAATTATATAACTGGGCTGGTTGACTTGGGTAAGCTATGCCCAGCTTGTGCAGTAACCATTGACATTGGTCATCATAAACATCAAATTGAACACAGGCAAGCTACCTGGTCCTTTTGTCACTCTACCTTATGTTAATTTCCTGTTCTTTGCTACAACTTCTATCTTCAGTGTTGTTGAGAAAAATTATGAACTTCTGGATGTACTTGTTTCTATTAAAAACATTGATAGAGCTTTATCATTGATGTTACTTGTTTTCTAATTAACTGATGTTTTAATTGTTCATTGAGTTTGTTAGCAATTCTTCGATAGGAGAGGACATATACTTACTTTATTGCGTGGTCATTATTTGTCTATGTGATATTGCACCTCATGTTTATTTTATTATGTTGGGCAAAAATAAAAAATTGTGTCTTTCATTCCTGGAGCTCACTCTGTTGTATCTACTACTTTTCAGGCTCGTGTGCATGATGAAAGCTTGAGATACGTCTTATCTGATTATGCTGTTATCGCTCTTGCAGATAGAGTTCCAACAACTGAGGCAGAAATATATGACACCATATCCCAAGCCGATCCAAATTTTGAATATTTGAATCTTAGTTCCCTTCAATTCCCATCCCCTATTGTTTGCAGCCATGTCGAAGACTTTGATTATTTACTCCAAGACAGGATAGGCAAGCCTGATGACATTTTTCAACCAATCCTTCAAATGCACCTGGGTCCAAATGGGAGTTGTCCGCTCTCTATCTTTAATTATGCTTTATTATCTAAAACTAACATGGAACTAACAAATCGATTAGTTTCCAAGCAAAATAGATTTAAAAATTCAAGACAAATAGCAAAGAAGGCTTCTCGAGAGTTGTTTGTTCAAAAATTTTCCTGCAAATCTCCAGTTTATCATAACTGTAGGATCTATGCCAATGATGGGCGATTGCTATGCTATTGCGATCGAAGGAAGCTTGAATGGTTAGTTGGATACACATTTTCATCTCTATTTAGTTGTAGTTTTTTCCCCCTTTTAAATAAATTATTACAGTTATTTACATGGAGATCTGCTTCCCACAGGTATCTTCGTAGAGATTTGGCAAAACTTGTTGAGGATGATCCTCCTGGCATAATGCTTCTTTTTGAACCCAAAGGCCGTCCTGAAGATGAGGGCAATGAATTCTATATCCATAGTAAGAAAAATATTTGTGTTGGCTGTGGTGAAGGAAATCACTACTTGCGCTATCGAATTATACCCTCATGCTACAGAGTGCACTTTCCAGAGCATTTGAAAAGCCATCGTTCACATGATATTGTCTTACTTTGTGTTGACTGCCATGAAATTGCTCATACTGCTGCTGAGAAGTACAAGAGACAGGTTGCCGCAGAATTTGGAATACCGCTTTTTGTTCGTAAAGTAGTTGATTCTACACAACCCCAAGATGAGTCATCTTCTTCTATTATGGATCAAGAGGAGGTAGGCGTGTCTCCTTTACAATTGCGAACAGCAGCCATGGCTCTCTTACGGCATGGGCCTACAATGCCATCTAAGCGCCGTGAAGAACTGAAACAGGTAAGAGATCATGTCATTATTGATTTTTTTTTGCTTTTCGATTTTATAGTATGAATTTTTAATTCTTGTTGTTGAATGATAAAGCACAAATTGCCATACTCTGTACATCAGAATGCCGACCTCAACTGTTAAGTACGGAGAGTGGATTCAGATTGTTAGCCAGTTACTTTAGTGTAATTATTGATGGTAATGGTTCACCTGTGTGGTTGAATTTATCAAGAGAAAGGGGAGTTTCATCAATTTTGTGTCCTGACATCTGCTAATTTGCCACGTGTCCTTGTATTTAATCCATGCGCGGTGTCTGTTTTATTTACTTATGTATTTACTTGTCAGATTTTCTTTGTTTCTCCTTGCTACTTATTTTCTGTTGCCTTTTTACGTGACTGGTTTTACCATGGAAAACCAATTGGTTATGATGCACAGGTTTGGTATGCAGCCTATTTGTAGGCATGCTAGGGACTGGTTTGGAAAAGCAGGTTGGTGCCTGAACACTTTGTGATTAGCATAGTGTGAGTGAGGGGTTCTCTTTTCTTCCTTTCCTTTATACAATCTGGATCAATTCAGTTTTCTGTAAGCTTGCGTTGTTCTGTAGGAAACCCTGATCTTGTTTGGTCCTATAGAATTGCACAATGAAGCAGAAATGTGCATGTGATGACACTTCACTTCAATCTGTTTTGTCTGCTTTGGTGGTGTCCTTTGGCACCCATTGTCTTTCAACAATTAAGAGCTTGACATATGAGAAACTTGTTCGATTTTGCCACTGACAGATGTTCTTTTTTTCCTTGCAAGGTTAGAGGAATAACATGACAAAATTCAGTTACTTTGTCCAACAATAAAGATATTGTCCTCTTTTTATTATTGGAACCACAACACCAAAAATGTTGGATACTTGACATAATTCAGCAATTGAAGTAGAAACTGCTCATAAGATGGAAAAATAAACTTCTTATTTCCTTCAATTTTTATTTATGTGAACAACATTTCTGTCCATTCCTCTTATTTTACATTTGGAAGGGTGAATCAGTCTGCTATTATATTGTCAGACAACCACTTGCCCCCAAAAGTTCTAGGTAGTAGGAAATACGCCAAGCAATATATATCAACTTTCACCTCCTTTGCATTTAATATTTCTACTATGTAAAGAGATGCATGAGAACAGACAGAAGTTAAATTGAAACATACAAACAAATGAGGGAGCAAATGCAATCAGATAGACTTGAGCAAATGCAATCAGTTGCCTCAAAAGAAAGTTCTTAGCATTGTGAGATATATGTGGGTGGGTGTGTGGAAGTGGCACTTACAAACCATTGTTTCTCTCTCTGCAGATTGTCGTGAAGTATTTTGGAGGGAGGGAAATATCAGAGGAAGATTTGGAAAGAGCTTTGCTAGTTGGAATGGGTCCTCAAGAGAGGAGACGGCTTGAGAAAAAGAAAGGGATTTCATTTAAACATTCTACAGGAATTATCAATCCAGTCAAGAAGCTGGAGAATAACAGTTGTAGTGAGGTAACATCGGCTAGTTTAAGTACACAAAACGTCAATAAGGTAACATCGGCTAGTTTAAGTACACAAAACGTCAATAATATAGATAATTCACATGCTATGAAAGGGGAAATGTGCAGCAAAGAAGATGATGACCTTTCAATGGCAAAGGATATGAATGTAAGCAGATCCTTTTTAGGTGCTGATTTAGAAGTTAATGGGGAAGTGTCTGCTGCTGACAGCAAGAATACAAACTTAGATAGAATTGGAGATTCTGAGGCTATATGCATATCTGTTTTGGATACTGATGATAATTTTGAAAGAAGGATTCCATCGAACGGAACAGATAATTCTTTTCCACCCAGTTCTGAGGAAAATGGCTCATCTAAACATAATTCAAAGTTATCACTTTTAGGACATGGACCACATGGGAAGCAGGTAGTGGATCATCTCTTAAATGAATATGGGGAGGATGGGATACTTCAATTTTGTCAGAGGTGGAGACATGTTTTTGTTGAAGCTGTTCATCCTCGTTTCTTACCTGCTGGCTGGGATATAACACACAGGTATGTGCTTCATTGTTATTCTTGTTATACCATTTTTTCTTATTTACCGTACATAACTATTATTAAGTCAGGAATCAAGATGTGTAAAAACGAAATGCTATTTACGGCACAAAGAGAAAATCTATCTTTTCTTGGGGTTTTAAGTTGCATTTGGATATCAGCATTGCGATTGAATTCAGATGTGAGGTCTGAAATTCAAGACCACATTTAAGTGGTATTTTAGGAGCTTGGTCTTGGAATTCCCCAAATTCTTTTAACATTCTAAGTCTCTAATCTTAAAATGTCATTCTGGATGCTGGATTTGTCAATGAGATTGCTACCACATGACCACCACGTTGTCGTGTGTAGCATTCCTTCTATTGAGCAATCTGTTTGAATACAACAATCTCAATCGTTATATTTTAAATGTGCATGACTTTGATTTGATTTTAAATCCACAACTTTAGCCTAAAAGCAACTTTAGAAACATTTATTACTATTGGAGAACTGCTAAAAGGAAAATTTACTTTTAGTTTTATATTGGGAATACACTAGTAAACTGATCTGCTGTGGACATCTATAAAATAATCTTGTGCGACAAGAAAAAGAAATGATGAGCCATAAGGGGAGATATGCATTCAAGTCATGCTTGGTGCAGTTTTGCATGTGGCACATATAAATATAGTATTATAATACACACACACACACACACACAATGCAATTACGATTTGTGACACATGCTTAATCTTAAATATGACTTAAGATTATAAAATTAAGTTTGGATTTGTGCAAAAGACATTCATGAGATGGCATGACTTTATCCTATTAGTTGATATAATCAGTCTAGGCTTCCTTGTACACTAAAAAATGACAAAATAAGGTGGAATGAGGGTTTCCTTTTTTAGTTTTTACTTTATAGTAAGTAGGAAAGGCTTTCTTAAGTTCTATTAAATTGATATTTAATGTTCTCTTTACCCATTACAAATTCTGTTCTATTAAGTCAAACCCAAACCTTAGTTTGTCAGGGCAGGAAAAAATATGGGGTTAATTATAAGAAAATAGAACTAATATAGGACTTTGCGAAATGAAGAAAATACACAATAAAAGATAATGGTGCAGGAATGAACGTGCACATTGCCCGTGTCTGGACGGGCAGTGGCTATGTGGGCTTTAAGGCCTTTTGATGGTGATTATTTTCTGGCTATTTGGATGAACTCGGATCCTTTCATGTAGGAGAGTATTTGATGGCTTGGATCCTTTTCATGATTTCATATGAGGAGCCACCTTTGACAGGTCTTTTTTCCACCTAATTGGGGTCGGTTATATGAATTCTGTTTTTTCATTCTGCTCTATCCAAGGTCACACCCTCGATTAAACCACATGGTATCATATATTTCCTTGCTAACTCTACCCATATTAACTTTGGTCTTTCCCGTCCCTAGCATTACTCTCAATATGGACAATGTTGCTCTTCGTAATTGCTGCACCTAGTGGTCTTCTTTGCACATGACCAAACCATTTAATCGATTTTTGCAAAATATTTAGATGTGAAGTGTGAACGCATTCTTGAGATGGTTGGAGAGTTGGGGTTGCACACAGATAAAATCTCGATACTATTTTAGATACTTCTTCTATAATCAATGATAGGCTATAGAGTATAGGCCATTCCTTTTGCACGTCATTTTGAAACTTGAACTATTTACTGAACTAGTTGTAGGAGAAACTCTTTTTTGCTCAAAGGTTGCGTTTGATTATGAAGAGCTTAGACTTCCCCAAAGGTCGATGCAAATTTTACTATTTCTTTCTTAAACTCTTCAAGTTTATTTCTATGTTTATTTAAAATGTATAATCCATGGAACTGAAGCTCTGTTGATTTATGCAATGGAATTGATATACAACACTTTTTGCAGTGGTAGAAGGGACTTTGGCGACTTCAGTGTTTATAATCCCGTAAAGAAAGTTTCTGTTGCTGCTAACGTGTAGTGAACAGATGAGAGGTATGCAAAACAAAGATCATCCAACTTCATAGGCCAAAAAAATGGATGTCTAATGCCATTATCGTTTTGCTTTTCTTCTTTTATCTTTTTTGTTTTTTTCCTTTCCATTGAACAGGGAGAACTCTGGTTTTAAAGTTCCCATTTTTGTGTATCATAATTATTTATTGAATTTTTTAATTCTGAGGAGAGATGAAATTCCAATATCTCTTGAGAATATGGCATGGTTGATGATCAAAAGAATGTTAGATAACAACAAAAGAGTCTTGGACGGGATTTTTCATTTTAGAGTTTGCAATAATTGGTTACCATTACCCTTTATGAAAGCCGTCGAAGAGAGGGCTGTTATGTGTGGCCTTTTCAGGTGCTGGATGCTCAATAATTACTCAGTGTTCTTGAGCTAGCAAGGATTCGAAATAGCGTTTAAAGATTACTATTTGTCCTATAAACTTGCTTCAGTGAGGTGAAGTCACTCTTATGGATTGGAACACTACTGGAGGAACTTGCGGCATCTGACACAGCCTATTATTTGGGAACTTGGGATGAAAAGAGCAACTGGACCGGAATGGAATGAAGTATGAATTTCTGGAGGTTTTTCTTCTCCTGTTTTACACTACATACAATTTATACAAAATAATTTACCTTTTTTATGAATAGGCAAAAAAAAAATCCAAGATGAAGTGCTATTTCTTATTCCAGATATTGGGCAAATCGAGTCCGAACGTTTTTGTGCCTATATCAGATTTAGTGCCAGTGGCCAACGAAGTTTGCACTGCCAGTTCGATTATTATAGTCTCTCTCTATGTTACCATGGTCATAATAATATGATTACTTGTTATTGATCTTATACATGATTTTAAATGTCCCAATTAACATTAATAATGAAGCTTACCCATTAAAACAAAATTTTTAACTTCATCTCAATGTTGACTCTGTAATATCATTCCTGCAATACCGAGATTTGTTATTTCTTTGTATGAAGCCTAAATACTGGTTTATTTAGGCGGCAAGTAAAGCAGTTTAGTATGGGGTTACTTCTTACTACATACGAACACCTCACTACACGGCAAGTAAAGCAGTGAGTGTAGTATGGGATTCAATAGCAAGTTTATGAGATGAGAAATGGAATTTGATGGTATTTTTAAATGATAATTGTGTCCTTTTTCAAAGTGCGGAAAAAGGACCAGAAGCCATTTAGATTCACCACTCGTGTTTACGGGCCCTATAAATCACCCTATCGCCGTTCACGGTTGCTCAATTGCAAATCCAGACAATCACTGTTTTGTAAAAATACATAATATAATAATGATAAGATTAAAGCTATCAAAAATAGACCAGGGAGAACTCATTGTCACAAAAGATTCACTAATCAAGAAGGTGACATCATTATAACTTTTCATTTGGATAATTTCTTTTTTATAAATACTCTTGGTAAGTTCTTGGAGTAGTAGTTCTTCCTTCAAGAAATGGGGGCTGAAGATAGGAAAACACAACTTTCAAAAGTTGAAAAGATAGATCCAAATCTATGCTACTGTTGCTCTTTAACAGTTTTTGGAAAGAAAAAAAATTATTTGGACCTACACAAATTCTCTACTCATATTTACTTAAGTTGCTTTCTTGTGGTGTTTCCTTTCCCAATTGACGGAATAAATACAAAAACTTAAATATCACAGGCACTCATCTGACTTAACTGTCAAATCCACTCGGTAAAACCAAACTACGCTTCCATTCAATCGCTGTAGCAACAGGTAGCGGAACAACATTTTCCGGGAAGGTGATCTGCCAGTCAAACCAAAGGCAAAGAACCATCAACAGCCTTTTCAAAAGGGTGTTATGCAAGGTAGGTTATAGTGCCCACAAGACTAAAATGAAAGTGCATACCGGTTACTGTCAAAACACTTCGATAGTCGGTACCCACTATAGGGACAATAATTGCGACTTGTGATCAACTCCATTGAAGATGAAAGTCCCGGTCATAGGAACAAATTGTTTAGTGATGAGCTGTAACAAGGACGGCAATGCCATATTAGGTTGCAACCAGAAACAAAATCAAGGATGAATAACTTACTAATGGAAAATTTAGCCGTTCATGTGCGGAAGAAGTAGAAGCAAGTATATAGTACTTGCAAAACACGACTGAACCAGTGTCGGGATTTTGCATGACTCTTTTATGACAGATATGAAAACAAAACCTTGATCACTTCCTGAGATGCAATTCCCCCAATTAAGGCAGCAACAGCATGGAGCTCTGCAGCACCGTAACGGCACATCTCATTGATAAGGTCCTCTGTCAAGGTCGAGCCATTGCAACCCAAATCACTAAGTAGGCCAACAGCTGTCGTTTTCAATCGAGATATATCCTCGTCCATCTCACTGCAGAATGTTGAACATCGATAACACAGGTCATGATAAAGTGGAACTTCTTTTTAACAAAGAAATACGTTGTTCTACTAAGGAGTCGGGTGTTACCCATCAAATTGTCCAGGGAAACTGTTGTAGTTCGCAGCAAACCGGTCAACAGCTCGAAGCAGAATATAGAACCCCACAGCAACACTGCCACATGTATAAACAGACAACTTACAACAATCCATCTACAACATCAATAAACCAGTTGAGGCTAAGACATACAAAGTATTCATCTATTATAAAAATGTACTTTTTACGTTGGCTTAATCTGAAAAAATAAAAAATAAAAAATCCGATAGTTTAAATAATCAAAGCTGCTATTGAAATTAATATACACTCTACAGATGATCAAACGAGATGCTGACAACTTCCACAAGCTAGAGGTTTAAAACTTAAAACAAAATGAAAATAACATACTAGAAAACATCAAGGAATCAAGCAATTGTGACATCCAGAACAAGCCCATTCACAAAGAAGAGGTTATAATTTTTCACCATTACATCTATAACAGAATCTATATACCAATCAACTTATCTTAAGCTACCATCATTGCCAGAGAAATTACTTTTATCATCTGCCAGCATGAACATTATAGGAGCGCCCAATAGACAAGGATTTCACTTAAAACAGGAACTTTAAATGAACAGATCACCTTAGAAAACACACAAATTAAAGAAGGGTGCAGGAAACAGATATTAAAGAGCTTGTGAGAATATCATCCAGAAATAGCTTAAGCCTGAAAGGTAAAGGAACGAAATTCTGCCTTTAGAGAAGAAAGAATGCAATCATTCACTAGGGATAATGTTACAGGGCTAAATCACACCACAAATTTTTGCCTCTGTAATGGCACTTGGGGCCACCAAGTCTCAGCCAACACATAACATAAGACACACAATATAGAAATGTAAAGAAGGCACACACAGTTTACAAGGACAAGCCCCAACCTTTGCTCATATTAAACATATTACAAAGGAACGTTTGTACAAGGAACCAAGGCTCACACCCTCCTATCTGTCCCCTCTACAAAGCCCACCTTAGCATTATATAGGCCACTCTCAAAACCGCCCATAAACTACCCATTAAGATAATGGATGACATCCCCATCCACCTAGGGTCGTGCTGGCACCCTCTAAATGTGCCAGCACTATAATGCAGTTGACAAGCCAAACTGCTAGACTTGTTGACATGTTCTGCTCATGCCACATAACCACAAGAAGTTACATTTTGCATAGTGGAAGAAACCACCCTTAACCGCCTGTATGTTGGTCCTCTCAGAATTGTGCCACATGCTTGGGAGGTTACTCAGCACTCCCCCACTTCCCATGATGAGTGGGAAGTGCTAGTAACTTCCCCCAACCGACCGAGCCCACTTAGCCACCACCTCTTGTAACCGCAAGCCATGACTTTGTGTAGTCCATGCTCTAGCCACATCTGAGTCAACCTTGTAAACCTAGCCCAAGCCAAGTCCACTAATCTACACCCACATATATATGTCTCTGAATGCACGGCGTGCCAAGCCATGCATGCCCGTGCTCACGCTTGGGTGCACGCCAAAGTGCAAGCCGGCGCACACACTGGTGCCCTTCTACGTGCGCCATGTTTGAACCCTTATGCGCCCGTGGCTGTACGCCCGCTTGGACGCCGAGCTAAACGCTCGCGCACACTAGGTTGGACGCCTGCCCGTGCGCGCGCCGCTGCACACCAGCGCGCATGTCGGTGCCCACTTGTTTGCCCTTCAATATCTTGGATGCTCCCCACTTGTGCAATCATCTTGGAGTGATGCAACACGTACCCATGCACGTTGGCTAAGCCCTCTAAGCAAGCCATGCCATAGCCCAACCGATGTGCTCAACAGACCCCTCCCTAGTATAGTCTTAGGGAAATCCAGCACTCTAACAAGAGTAAACATCATCCATGCTTAAGGAGTCATAATGGCCTTTCAGGCCTTTCCCGACATCCAAATTGAGTGTTGTCTGCGCCAACCAGCTTCTATGGACTCAAGGTACCTCCCATAAAGATCCCGAATCAAAACTCCAAGTTTCACTTTTCACCATATTTACGAAAATGCCACTGGGCACCCCCAATGCACGCCGAGCATCCTTTTAAGCATCCTATGTGCACGCTGAGCATCTTGTGCACGCTGAGCATGTTGTGCACGCTGACAACCCACTGAGCATCCTCATGGCTGTCTAACCAAAGCCAAAGTATTCCCAAGACATGGCATGGCCTTGAAATGCCCATGTCTTCCCTTGGACAACCGTCAAGGGGCTAACAAACCACCCCCACCAGAAGAAGTCGACGCCCTCGTCGACTTGTCCAAGTACTCCCTTACCTGTTTCTCAAACTGCCATAATGTCACATCCCTTTCCCAACTCGCCTCTGCTTCACTGCATCCTTTCCACTGCACCAAGTAATCAGTTCTGCGATTTTTCTTACTCTGTCCCTGGGTCCTGTGAGACAAAATCTTCTCCACCTCCTTGTTAAACTGCAACCGAATAACAGGTGGGGCTCTCTTAGCCTGCTGTCTTGATGTATCTGCAGTGTCCTCGTGAAAAGGCTTAAGGAAACTCACACGAAAAGTAGGATGGACCTTCAGTCTCTTAGGTAACTGTAATCTGTAAGCAACATTCCTCACTTTCTTCACAACTTCAAAAGGACCATCATACTTCTGAATCAGCCCTCTGTGAATAGTCTTGCTGCTTATCTTCTTCCAAATCTGTGGAGTCAATTTCAACAGAACTTTGTCTCCCACTTCGAACTCTAATGACCTTCTCCCTTTATCTACATACTTTTTCATCCTTCTCGCAGCCTTGGCAAGGCTGTCCTGTGCCTCCTCCACCATCTCTTGCATGGAATGGGCATATCGGTATGCTGCAGGGCATCTTCCACCAATCCTCTGCACTGCCACCTCCTGTGGTATGCAAGGTTGTTGCCCTGTTGCCAACTCAAAGGGACTCATTCCTGTTGCTGAAGACCTGTGCAAATTATAAGGAAATTGTGCAGTGTCTAGCAACTCCAGCCAATTTTTCTGACTTGCAGTGACATAGTGCCTCAGATATTCTTCCAATAACTGGTTCATCCTTTCAGTCTGTCCGTCAGTTTGAGGATGGTTTGCTGTGGAGAACTTCAGTTCAGAACCCATCAAGCCAAATAGCACCGTTCAGAACCTTCCCGTAAATCTGGTGTCACGATCACTAACAATATCCTCGGGCAAGCCAAAATATTTCACCACAAACTTATGAAATAAACCAACAGCAACTTCCGCTGGGCATGCATGTTGCATATTTAGATAATCTATCTACTACAACAAAAATAGATCTCATACCTTCCACCTTAGGAAAACCAGAAATGAAGTCCATTGAAACTGACTGCCATGGACGCTCTGGTATAGGCAAGGGTTGCAGTAGCCCTGCCTCTTTCTTCCTCTCGTGCTTGTCTTTTTGACAGACCAAGCAAGTCTTGACATATAACTCTATGTCATCCTCCATCTTGGGCCAGTAATATGATCTGGATATCAACGCCAACATTCCATCCACCCCTGGATGTCCAGCCCACTGAGGATCATGCATCTCCCGCATTAATTCCCGTCTCAAACCTCCAACAGGAACATATAATCTACCTCCTCTGGCATAGAGTAGATTATCTTCAATCCAGTACTTTCTGACTTCACCATCAGCAACCTATTGCTTAAGTTTCTGCTAGGCATTGTCGGACTGAGATTGTTCTTTGATTCTGTCAAGGAAATCAGTATACACCGTTGTCAACGACGCCACATACTCCTACACTTCTTTCCTACTCAAGGCATCAGCAACTTGATTCTGCTTTCCAGGTCTGTGAACCCACACAAAATTGAACTCCCCAAGAAACTCTTGCCAACGAGCTTGCTTTGGAGTAAGCTTTTTCTGTGTCTTGAAGTAGGTATTGGCCACATTATCAGTCACCACTGTAAACTTGGTACCCAACAGATAGTGCTTCCATGCGTCAAGACAATGTATCACTGCAATCATCTCCTTCTCGTGAGTTATATACCTCTGTTCAGCATCCTTAAGCTTCCTGCTTTCAAAGGCACATGGGTGTCCTTCTTGGACTAGGACCCCACCAATTGCTCTGTCAGAGGCATCAGTATGCACTTCAAATGGCAAACCAAATTCAGGCAATCTCAAGACCGGTTCTGTAGACACTGCCTGCTTAAGCATCTCAAAAGCTTTCTGGCACTCCTCAGACCAAACCCACTGTTTGTCCTTCTTTAGCAAGTCCGTTAAAGGACTGACCTTCTTGGAATACCCCTTTATAAACTTTTTGTAGTAGTTTGCCAACCCTAGAAAAGATCTCAACTCTGTCACTTTGGTAGGTGCAGACTAATCAAGGATGGCTTTCACCTTTCTCTCATCCATTCTGACATGGCCTTTACTGATTCAATGCCCCAAAAACATCACTTCTTGGCGACAAAACTCACACTTCTCCTTTTTGACATATAACTGAAACTCCTTTAGTTTTGAGAAAACCAATCTCAAGTGTTTTAAGTGATCTTTCAATGACTCACTATAAACTACAATGTCATCCAAATAAACAACAACAAAACGATCAATGTAGTCATAAAACACATTATTCGTTAAGGTGCAAAAGGTTGCCGGGGCATTAGTTAGCCCAAACGGCATTACAAGAAATTCATAAGACCCATAACGAGTTACACATGCAGTTTTGGGTTCATCTCCTTCTGCTATACGCACCTGCCAGTAACCTGCACGTAAATCCAGCTTAGTAAAGTAGGATGCCCTTGACAACCTGTCAAATAAATCTGCGGCATTGGGCACTGGGTACTTGTTCTTCACAGTCACCTTATTCAGAGCCCTATAGTCCACACACATCCGCATTGAGCCATCCTGCTTCTTCTGGAACAACACGGGCACGCCATACGGTGCCTTGGATGGTTGAATATAGCCAGACTCCATCAACTCATCCAACTGTCTACGTAGTTCAGCCAGTTCTGAAGGCGCCATCCGATATGGGGCCTGAGCAGGAGCCCTAGCTCCCGGCTCCAACTCTATCTTGTGATCAACAGCACGTCGAGGGGGCAATTGCTTGGGTAGTTCTGGTGGCATCACTTCTGCAAATTCCTCTAGAATTTCAGCAACAGAATCCGGAACTTCAACAAACTGGTCTGATTTGATCTCTATTATAGCTGCAAGAAAGGTAGAGTCTCCCCTCTTCCAACCTGTTTTCACTTGCAATGCAGAGATTATTTCGATGCAGCCATATTTACGATCTTCCTTCTTTTGGTGCCCATAAAGAGCCACTGATGGAATAAAACATGGACAATTCCTGTCCCAAATAAAAACTCCTCCCAAATATGGCACAACTAACACTCTGGCTTTCGTAAGGAACTCAATTCCAAGAATTAGATCAAAATCATCTAAGGGTACAGCCATGAGACTAACTACGCCCTCCCAACAACCAACTTTCATAGAAGTGGTGGCCATGCCTAAGCCAGGCTTGGCTTCAGAATTCACAGCTTTCATCTTATTAGCATGTGGAATTAACTTTAAATTAAAGTTACTTACTTCCCTCTGCGCAATGAAGTTATGAGTGGCCCCCGTGTCTACCATTGCCAAAACTTCCTTGCCGTTCAGCGTCACCTGAATGAACATGAACCCTTTCAACTCCATGGACTGTTCTTCAGTAAGAGCATTCAACATTTGCAGAGGATTGACTCGGGTTGGACCACTTTCCGAGTCCGAATCTCCTTTTGAATCAGCGACAATAGCACTCAGCTTCTCCCTCTTGGGGCAGTCCCTAACACGGTGGGGACCATTGCAGATGAAACAACCGTAGTTGGGCTTAGTCCCACTACTACTCCCTTTGTTATTGTAATCTGCCTTGGCCTTGACAAAGCCACCGCCTTTATCCTTCTTTTGATTCTTGTCCTTCTTTTTGTCCTTGAACCTAAAAGACTGGCCTTTGTCTTTCTTCCCCTCCTTGGACTTCTTCGTGTCTTATGTAGTAGACCCAGTCATCTTGAAATCTATAAGACAATCTCCTGCTGTCATGGCAATAGGAAGGTCCCTCACACCTTGCCTACAGAGTTCTGCCTAAGCCCATGGTTGCAATCCGGACGTGAAATTGAACAGCTGTTCCTCCTTTGACATATTTCGAATGTCCGGCATCAAGGAACTGAAGTCCTTCACATAGTCACGAACGGTGCCTGTGTGCTTCAATTTCTTCAGAGATTCCCTTGCAATCCATGCAGTGTTCTGAGGCAAGAACTGGTCCTTCAATTCTTTCTTAAGGGTCTCCCAAACTTCAATCCAAGGCCTACCCGCAAAAGCATCGTCCTCTGTCCGTGTGCGCCACCATAGTTTTGCATCACCAGACAAATACATGCTTGTAATGGTCACCTTCTCGCCATCGGGGATCCGAGCAGCCTTGAAGTACTGCTCCATGTCCCATAGAAAATTCTCCAACTCTTTAGCATTTCGGGTACCACTGAAAGACTTGGGATCCGGCACCTTGATCTTTTGTGAAAGAGGATCACCACCGCCTCTGGAACTCCCATGAATGGTCCTCTTCACCAAGGACACTTCATCTTCAAGGACTTTCAGGTTCTTCTTGAAGACGTCAGTCAGTGACTCAACATCCTCAAAGATACGGGTCAATTGCTCTTTGGTGGCCTGCATCAAGTCACCAAACCCATCAGGATCAGTCTTCAAGATCTCCACTTCAGAAGCTAAGTTTTCGATTCGAACCACAAGGCTCTCTGCACCATATTGTACCTCGGTTTCTGTAGGAAAACCCACAAACTCTTCCAAACGGGAAACTCTCTCACGAGTATTACCTCCAGCCATCATAGAACGGGGCTCTGATACCAATTGTTACAGGGCTAAATCACACCACAAATTTTTGCCTCTGTAATGGCACTTGGGGCCACCAAGTCTCAGCCAACACACAACACAATACACACAATATAGAAATGTAAAGAAAGCACACACAGTTTACAGGGACAAACCCCAACCTTTGCTCATATTAAACATATTACAAAGGAACATGAGTTCGTACAAGGAACCAAGGCTCACACCCTCCTATCTGTCCCCTCTACAAAGCCCACCTTAGCATTATATAGGCCACTCTCAAAACCGCCCATAACTGCCCACTAAGATGATGGATGACACCCCCATCCACCTAGGGTCGTGCTGGCACCCTCTAAATGTGCCAGCACTATAATACAGTTGACAAGCCCAACTGCTAGACTTGTTGGCATGTTCTGCTCATGCCACATAACCACAAGAAGTTACATTCTGCATAGTGGAAGAAACCACCCTTAACCGCCTGTGTGTTGGTCCTCTCAAAATTGTGCCACATGCTTGGGAGTTTACTCAGCACTCCCCCACTTCCCATGATGAGTGGGAAGTGCTAGTAACTTCCCCCAACCGACCGAGCCCACTTAGCCACCACCTCTTGTAACCGCAAGCCATGACTTTGTGTGGTCCATGCTCTAGCCATATCTGAGTCAACCTTGTGAACCTAGCCCAAGCCAAGTCCACCAATCTGCACCCACATATATATGTCTCTGAGTGCAAGGCGTGCCAAGCCATGCACGCCCGTGCGCACGCTCGGGTGCACGCCAAAGTGCAAGCCGGCGCACACACTGGTGCCCTTCTACGCGCGCCATGTTTGAACCCTCATGCGCCCGTGGCTGTACGCCCGCTTGGACGCCGAGCTAGACGCTCGCGCACACTAGGTTAGACTCCTGCCCGCGCGCGCGCCGCTGCACACCAGCGCGCGTGTCAGTGCCCACTTGTTTGCCCTTCAATATCTTGGATGCTCCCCACTTGTGCAACCATCTTAGAGTGATGCAACACATGCCCATGCACGTTGGCTAAGCCCTCTAAGCAAGCCATGCCATAGCCCAACCGATGTGCTCAACAGACCCCTTCCTAGTATAGTCTTAGGGAAATCCAGCACTCTGACAGGAGTAAACATCACCCATACTTGAGGAGTCATAATGGCCTTTCAGGCCTTTCCCGACATCCAAATTGAGTGCTGTCTGCGCCAACCAGCTTCTATGGACTCAAGGTACCTCCCATAAAGATCCCGAGTCAAAACTCCAAATTTCACTTTTCACCATATTTACGAAAATGCCACTGGGCACCCCCAGTGTACGCCGAGCATCCTTTTAAGCATCCTATGTGCACGCTGACAACCCACTGAGCATCCTCATGGCTGTCTAACCAAAGCCAAAGTATTCCCAAGACATGGCATGGCCTTGAAATGCCCATGTCTTCCCTTGGACAACCGTCAAGGGGCTAACAGATATCCAGAAGAGAATAATAGTCAACTTTATTTTTAGTAGAACTTGAACAGGAACTTGAAGGCTGGAGGAGGATGGGAAGAAATAACCACAATTGCAGATCCGAAAAAGCATATAATCTGGGACAACAATCGTCGAAGCCTCTCTCTAAAGACATCCCTGGACTAATTCATTTCTAGGACGCAAGATGATATTTTGCCAATTTGATTTGAATTGGTTATCTGAATGAGTACTGTACTTGAGAATGATCTCAGAAAGCCAAAACCTATCAGGCTTCCAGAATGACACTTATTTGGAGAGAGATAAAGAATGACCTTTCCCATTTTTACAAGGTTCGAGTTTATGCAGATATGAGGAACCTCCTGGTGTGAACAACAAGATTAGTCCTATATTCAAGGACTTCTCTACCATTGATCTTGCAGATCTCCACATTCCCAGATCCTAGAAAAGTAGACATCTTTTCTATTGATCATTAATGTGAAGAAAACTTTTATTTTCCTTTATCAATGTAATCATCTTCTAATTTTGTACTTACTAGCTTATGATTTGATCTACCAGAATGTGTTTCATAGCTTGAATAAGCATTAAAAATGGCCTTTCAGATCTCAAGCAGACTTTACCTATAGATATTTTCTATAGCAGTTCAAGGAGAGGGGGGGAGTTGTCTATATACCTGTAGTCCTCATCTGTCAGATACTTTTGTAGCTCTGACTGGATTGGGGAGTTGAACTCATCCTCAATGAGGCGATATCTGCATACCTATAAAATAAGAATAACACAGACACCACCTCACTTACCCAATAAAAAAATAAAATAAAATAATAAAGAAAGGTGGGTTCTCAAACGTCTTAGAAAGTGATATTATTTGTTCATACAATCTATAAGAAGAGCTAAAACATCAGATAATATTTTTCAGCTATATGTTTATATTGAGGAGTTATTATTTGGTGCAATAGCAAAAGTGTGGAATGACAGATGCGGGTTTGAGTTTGTGTTTGTGAACAACCACTTTGTACAAAATCATGTCAGGTGTTGGGCTTGCATCCAGTTTGCCCCTAACAGCGCCCTGTGTGGGTGAGATTAGCACTGGATATGGTCTTTTTTGTAATATATAGTTGCAGATAGCATAACGACCAGTTAATGTATAGATTCTCATAGATGTGGAGCAACTATCTAATTTTACTGCGTGTACTTACTTTGACAGATCCTGAAAAGTAGCATAAAATAGAAAGTCAACATAACAATTGTAATATCTGGATTCACATAGATAATGAAGGAACTATCTAATTTTACTGCTTGTGCTTAGTTTGACATATCCTGAAAAGTACGAGCATAAAATATATAAGTCAACTGCTAACAAGACTAATGCAAATTGAAAACGAACATTGAAAAAATATATATATTATTATTATATATATACTTTTTTGAATAAAACTGATCATGAAGTCATGACGGTCGTAGTATTTTAAAGGTAGGATAGAGTAGGGTGTGTTAATCAATGTGTTTGACAATATTTGTATGGATATTAAACAGCTTCTTCAGGGAGGGGTACATTCATGTAACATTTTCCTTTACAACTACATACTATAAAATTGGTTTAATGTATGACATCCAGAATTGGAACCTCTAATTTGCATCATCAATGCCGGAGTATATAGCTGATTAGGCATTAAAAACTGAACACACTTACCATGAGCTTCCTTGCATTTTTGCAGAAGCTTTTAATGATTGTCTTTGAGATGCTATTTGGATCTCTGCCAATTTTCTTTAGTATATTCTTTACTCGTTTCTCAACAACAAGAAAATCAGCCTCGGCCTTGGCTTGGTAGATCTTCTGCAGGTTTACATATGACCTACAACAGAGTTGACAAACATCTACTGTCACCAAATAACTTGTTTCATGCTCAAAAAAGTAATAAAATAAAAGGAGCAAAATGTCCTTGAAAAATGTTGATCACTAACTCAGTAGAAGATGTCATATCTGGTATTGATCCCTCAAGAGGTACCTCCCCACCACCTTCGTTATTGACAAACTCCTGCAATGCAAGGAAAGAAATTCCACGATTATACATCAGATACTGCAAGTAGTAGGAAGAAGTTCATGGCCATCAAACTAATAACCAGACAAATCTTATATATCAAAGATATAACGGAGGGTACCATTCGAGCTTCAACTATAGACAGAGGCACTCCACTTCCTAATCTGATAGAAATAGGAGACAAAAAAAGCTTCTCCCTTTTCCCCCTCCCCTGATCTATGTGTGTGATTAAGGCTCATCTCTACTCTTTTAACAAGAAAAACGTAATGCACACAAACATGGTTGTTTACAGTTGGAAGACAATTTGTGAGGAAAGCCAGGAATAGATTCCTAAAATCTCATTTTTGTGTTCTTTTCTCTCATTTGATGATAGGGAGTTTTATCACAGGTGCAAATTAAAATGCATACATGAGCAGCTTGCATAAAGAGAAGGCCTAAAGCAAAGGGAGTCAAAAACCAAGAAGCCCAAAGCAATTGAAAGACAATAATGTGTGAGAAGACAGTTAAGTAACTTGCAATCAGCCCCCTAAAGAAGACAACTACTGAAAACCAGCAAGTTTGAAGAATCAATTTACCAGCTTGTCAAAGATTTGCTGTCAAAATTTTTAGTTTCTGGACAGCCAACATCGCTTGTTATTTTTAACAGGAACTAATCTCAAAGCATCACATTGACAAGAATAAGCACATAGCAGGTGGGAGGCTTCTTCTCAGGGGCGATTCGGGGTACGTTCCTTTTATAGGAGGCTGTTGATTGCTCGGGGACCTTCCTTTCCATGGAAAACTGTGTGGACTGTGGGGCGTTAAGGCCCCCGTGAAGGTGGCCTGTTTTTTTTTTTTTCCCTTGGTCGGTAGCTCTGGAACAAATAATGACGATTGACAACCAAGGCAGTGACAGCTGTGTAAATTATTGTTTACTGGTATTTCATGTGCAAGAGGGATGAGGAGTCGGTGGATTATTCTCCAGTGCCTTGGGACAGCTGAACTATGCTCCTGAGTTTGTTCGGAGTTCATTGGGTCATGCCTCTTTCCACGATGAGTGTGCTTGAGATATGCAGAGGTTGTTCAGTAGCAGCTGGGGGCTCAGGCCAAGATGCTAGAGACTCGTGCTTATAGTGGTATCCGTGAGGAGAGAGAAATAGGAGATCCTTTGAGGGAGAGGAAGCTCCTATTGGGGTGCTTAAGTTCTCTATCCTCAGCACTTTATTCTTTGGGCTTTGGGAGAGAGATTGTAAATCTATAGGGGACATGGTGGAGTTTGTAGATATGCGGATTAGGGGCCTGGGGCTCTATTTGGTCCTTGTGTAGTTTGTTGTGATGTGCTCCCCGTTTCTGCACCTTTTATGATACTTTACTTATTAAAAAAAAACCTGTAACATTTAAGAATAAGCACAATAACAATTGATATCCTAGAGGCAAGTTTGTCTTATTAATTAAATTTCTTCTGAGTAAATATTTGAGGAATTACCTTTAAAGCTGCCAACATCACCCAAAAATCTGACGAATTAGATTCAACTTCAGAACAGTTATCATTAATTATCTGTTGCAGATTCGAACCTGATACATGAAATGAAAATATAATAAATTAATCTTATATGAAGTGTTACAGGTATAACCAGGCTAAGACATATTTCAATGACCAGCAAAATTGAGAATTCTGCTCTCAAGATATCCCATTAATTAATCTACCTTCTTACCTAACTCACTCAGTTTCTTGTAGGCAAGCAATACTAATCTCCTTCTATCTACCAATTTCATCTCCTTACCTATCGACATTCCTATATTCTTAAGTCCTATAATGGCTATTATCTTGGATTAACATATTTATAGGTGCTTGTCCCAAAAACAAATCCTTGCAAACCCTTACCTATTTCTCAAAGCATCTGAAAGCTAATGCTACGCATCATTTAAGGGAACCAAGACATCTATTAACTTATTTATAGGTAAATAGTGTCTAGAGAATTTTCCCTTTTTTGACTTGTTAATTAGGAAGACATATACTACTATTTTTTAACTAGTTTAATGTAAGCAATGTCCAAAGAGAGTGCCGAGCAGGCAAAATGGTGTTTGGAGAAAGCATCACATAGGCAATGAGGTGGGCAATTTCTCGTAAGTGTCTATATATATATCTATACAGATAGAAAATAATAGATCAATCTATGCTGTCCTGCATAATAGAACAGGAAACTACCCCCCCCCCCCCCCCCTCTCTCTCTCTCTCTCTCTCTCTCTCTCTCTCTCACACACACACACACTATATGAAGCGCCCTTCAAATCTTTGCCCTAATTTTCATGTTTTTCTTTTAAAATATCTTTTGAACATTTAAAACAATCAAAACCCAACTTATATTTTTATATGATGTTAAAATGCATGACAAGCCACCTTTCATATCGGTGCTTCTCTAAACACAATTTCACCTTATAAACCTATCCATTCCATCATGTGTAATAAATGAAAAAATATATTAGGGAAACTACCCTCATTAATTAATTTTCTAATTTTAACTTATCAAAAATATATATATTATGGAAACTACCCACAAACCATATGATCTCTTTCAAAATCACCTCACTCACTCTCTCTAACAAAACAGAGTTCTTCAACAATAACATTAAGCTACAAAACAACTCCCCTTTTTCCTCCAAGCTATGTATCAGCTATGTGAAAGATGAGGGAGCAAGCATGACAAGCAGAGTTCTTTAGAAATCAAAAGAATACCATGAGAGAAATTTATAGGTCAAAAGTCATTAAAAGCCTCAACAGTCGATTAGTTATTTACAACCAGTACCTTGGGCGATCAGCCAATAATATGAAGCACTAGTTGAGATTTCTTAACTCTACTAAAGTCTTGCACCAATCATGCATGATATCAGCCCATATTTCCAACCATTGTTTAGTTGAAGATATTAGGCAAGGTATACATCCTTCTTTGTTCAGCCCCTTATCTATATGATATCTCTTCCATTCACTCACCTTGTGTGGACCACGAAAATGCTATTTGGTATATAAAAATATTCTTAAATAAGCTTCATATTGATCAAACTATAACTAGATGGTTAGTGAAACTGTTATGTGACAAAACCCTCTATCCTACACTTAGTAACCACTTCTTAACACCTCTTTGCCATGCAAATGGCTTTATGTTTCAATAGCATGAACTTGATTTGAATCAAACCCAAAATAGAGAAGAATCTACTCCTCCTCGAGACTTGGTGCTCTAAAACGTGGGGTAAGGAAGAAGATAATTTTTAAGAATTGATTCCTCATATTACTTCCTTGAGTATTCAAAATAAATAACTGAGCAGCATTGAGAATGAGAAGAAATTCAGTTTTAAGTGGTTGTTGAAACGGTATTTGCTAGTATAATCTGTTCTCTCCATTGTTAAGATTTTTAAAAGGATTCCATCACACGTTTTAGAACATTATCTGACTTTTGGCTTGATAAAACCAGCTTTTTTCAACAAACCGAAAGTAACTATCAAAGATAGACCTGGACTCAAGTATTACTTTTTAGGCAAGCTCAATAGATCTGTTGGGCTTGGGTCTAGATCCACCAGATTCAGCAAACTAGCCAAAGCCACGATCCTGCGCAACCTAAGGTATGAACCATTTAATTAGTAAATCATGTGGCCATGTCAATGAGGTTTGAGTGCATTTCTATTTCAGCAATCTAGTTTGAAATTAATTTAACAAAAAAATGTTTACGAATGATATACTACAACATAACCTAACATGATCCATTTAATTAAGGAACGAAATCCTCTAGGAGTTTTATCCTATCGAAGTCATGCTTTCAGAGAATCATATACTTACTAATTCCTCGAGGAGCAAAGACTTTGAATGAGGCATCAATGGCTTCTTTATAGTTGTCTTCGTCCATTGAGATCATCCTTGCTTTAATTAGTTCCTAGGATGTTCAAGATGTCAACAAAATTAATAGAAGAAATGCTAACATATGTAGGTTTGGGAGAAGATGTATAAACCTTGAAATCTTTTTTCTCTTCCCTGGTTGATGGAAGGCTTCCACCATGACTTTTTGCCCACTCCTCGGCCATCTTGACAAGAATGAGAACATACGGTGTGTGTTTATGAACAACTGGATCCGTCACGTTTAGATCAATTGTTTCTGCAAACCTGCCATTGATAAATGTGTAATCAGCATTCATATTGGGGGACTTATGGGAGACGAGGAGGGAGGGAGTCAATCAAAGTTAAGATTTTAATAAACATCTTAAATATAAAACTCAAAACACAAGCTTTCCAACACCCTCAGAAGAGTAAGACTTACTTACAAAGACCCATAATCAATGTACAAAAATAAAATAAAATAAATATGCAAAAGACAGAGCCAATCAAAATGGTAAAAGAATTATTAGAACTATATACCTCCCGAGCTCAGGCCATGGATTGTTTAGCCGAAGATCATCTAAAAAATGATCAGGCTTTGATTCAATCACTGTATGCTCCTGCCACCAGAATATAAAACAAAAAAGGAATTTAGCAACCATAATCTCGATTTTAAATTTTAATAATTTTTCAAGACTTAAAATTTCTACTTTTTCCTTTTATCTTTAATTTCTGATTCCCAAATAATGTTCACCAGCATGCAATATTCTCTACATTAACAGGAAGAATAAGTGAGTTTCAACGTGTTTTTTATAACAACTTGTGAACCGCATAAGCCATCTGTGATTAATTTAAAAAAGAAATCTGACAAGGATTCCATGTGTCATCATTCTTATTGTGTGTACTTTTCTGAAATGAAAAGAAAATTTGACCAAAAACTTCATATACATCACCTTCACACTGATGCGAACAAACCCAGTGAGGCCATAGGACCGTGCAAATATCAACATAACATTTGCTTCCCGGCAGATTCTATCCAGCTTCACCATTGAGTCCTCCACCAGCTGAAAGTTCAACAACAACATCCCCGTCAACAATGCAAAGTTTTATGAGAGTAAAAAAAATTACAAATTTAAGAAAACTCTACAAATAAGACAGTAATAAAAGCACCAAGACACCAATATTAATGAATCAATGAACTATAATTTCTTATATTAAACAGACCTTAAAAAAAGAAATTGATCTTAAAGGGGACCCATGTAATGACCCACTCTACCACATGGTATGATAATGTCCGCTTTGGGCCCGAGCCTGCACGGTTTTGTTCTTGAGTTTTACCCCAAAAGGCCTTATACCAATTGGAGTGTTCAAATCCTACATATATAGCATTTCACCTTTCCACACCTAACTCAAATATATATATATATTATATTACCTTCATTGATAATAGCTAAAAATATTAGCAGTATGTTATTATTGCAATTTCCTGAGTGGTCTGAGGATTTAAAAGAATGGGATGAAGGAACTATCTCAGTTTCATATAGAAATTTATATAGAATCTTTGAAAAATACTTTCCTTCATAAAAAAGAAAAGACTTACTATCTTTGGGTTGTGGGATTGTGCACCTATAGCTCGCCCAGTGTGCTAGCCTGTCAGTACCTCTTGCACCCACCCACAGCACACCCGCCCACAAGGTCGTCACAATCACCCCCCTTGGGGCCCAACGTCTCCGTTGGCCACACTTCCGACTGCGTCAGGCTTTGATACCATTTGTAACGACACACTCCACCATGGTATGTTATTGTCCGCTTTGGCCCGAGCCCGCATGGTTTTGTTTTTGGGTTTTACCTGAAAAAGCCTCATACCAATTGGAGTGTTCAAATCCTACATATATAGGATTTTTCTATTAACTTTAAGTGTTGAGATTTAATTGGAATTGGAATGAATTTGTGGATTATATTTATGGTTTCATAATTTTATTTGAATTATTTATTGTGGCGACCTTGTGGGCGGGTGCAAGAAGCACTAACAGGCTACCATACTGGGTGAGCTACAGGTGCACAATCCCACATCGCCTGGGTGTTGAAAGGGGAAATGCTATAAATGTAGGATTTGAACACTCCGATTGGTACCAGGCCTTTTGGGGTTAAACCCAAGAACAAAACTGTAAGGGCTTAGGCCCAAAAGCGGACAATATCATACCATGTGGTGGAGTGGGTCGTTACAACCCAGCTTTGATAGGGAAAAAATAATAATAATAATTTGCAGGGAAATATTCTTTTTCCATAAATTATTTATTTCAAAAAAATAAGCGATAAGAAGCCACCTTTTTCATGAGTAGATAATACAAAGTATACTAGACAAGCGAGGATACCATACAATACTGGAACCTATATAAATTCCTGGCATCCAATACTGGAAACTATATAAATTCCTGAATAATGTCAACCTTAAAGGCTAAAGAAACGAACTACAAGTGGTCCACAGATTGAATTCGACTCCAAATTCCCATCAAATGCTCCCATTCCAGCTATCCCTAATAATCGAGAAAACTCAAGCTTCTAATGCAACTTTCAAACTTCCTTGACTTCAAGAGACACAACCAACAAGAGTACTAAAATCTTAAACAAACTAAACATCACAACAATTTGATTTAAGAAATTTGGACAAGAAAGAAATAGATAGTAGTACGAAAAAAATAATTTTTTGGCAGTGTCACCAACATATATACTTATTTCGATCTAAATTAAGTAGACCTGATTCATCACTGAAAGTTGAACCCAAACATTGTCCATCAAACAAATCCCTAGTGGCCCGTGGTCTCATATTATAAAAAACCTATTGATGGCAATACCTAAAAAGTGACAGCATTCCATAAAATGCATCACAGTGAAGATGTAGAAATGCAGTGCAAACATGTAACCCTCCCTACTAACATTCACTGAAGGAAAATGGGAAAGCATGGGTTACTCCTGATTCCTGAATTAATCACCCTGTTACCTTGCTAAACGCTTCCCTTTTTAAAAACTACATTCATAGATTACCAAGTTCAAAAAGAAAAAACGCAAAGCGTAGCCCCTATTAATAACAAATTAAAACAGAACCCTAAACTAGAGCCATTCTTCCAAAAGAAAAGGAGTTTCTGAAAACTCACTCAACATCAATATGAAGTTCATACTCGCATCTTTTGATATGAGTGGAAGGAGCTTGACCAGTTCACCCACTGGGAAAAGCTTTCTACACCTTTCTTTCTATACACATCAAATCAACATTGAAGCAGTTCTCCAGAGGAAAGGATTTTATTACTTCCCATTATTATCAACAAAATGTGGGTTTGTAGGTCCTGACTGTAGCAGTTAAACTTGCTGTGTCACTAATCCCTGATTAAAGGGTCATCAGAGAATCAATCTTTTAGTGAATTATACATATATTTTTTGATAGATGTGAATTATACATATATATATATAATATGACCTCCTACATATAAAGCTCTGACTCTGTAGATGTATTAGTAGAAAATTTGTGTTTTATAATTGAAGACAGTTGCAAATTATATTCTAGAAAGAAAAAAAAAACAAGTTTTTATGGACATAAAAATATATACTTAAGCATACTAATGAAAAAAGTTCAAGTATACTAGTGAAAAAAGTTAGAATTGTATCAAACAATTATGTGCATTATCTTTTCTTTTCTTTTTCCAACATTCTTTTTTTCTTTTGATGGGGCCAGGGTTGAGGGAGGGGTAAATTATGTGTGTGATTTATCATTCACGCAAATTTGGTGACCTAGCCTTGTAAGGTTTATATGTTGATAGTTGTTAAAGTATTAACTAATAACATCTTAATTGAAAATTGTACAGCAAGAATGGAGGTTGAATGAGTAAGCCATTTTATTTGTTTCTCTCTCTCAACTATCAGTGTGAGTATGTTGTGCAAACCTTTTTCCTTTCTCTACTATAAGATTAGACACAAACAATGCATATGCAAATTGTACAGTAGCAAAAGGAACTAAGCTCTCCCTATAAACTCAAATGTCCTAAAAGATCTACAATAGCATATATAGAATCCGAGAATTACCCAGAGCACCAAATACCATATGTGTTCTGATTGATTAATGCTCTTAAGTTTATGATATCAATATATCAATAGCAATGTCGCATTCACATTGCAGCAACCAGCAAAGCACCACACAGGTAATTAAGGCAAAAAACTGTACATTGAAACCCACGCTCATAAGAACAAATTTCAATAGCGAATTAAAAGCTCCAGTATTTTCACAGACATATTTCTGTATGTACTACCATTATATAAGGAGAACAATTAGACAGTAATTCATACCTGCGTGGCTACTACCAAGGTAAACTGAGAAAAGAATGATGGGTTTGTCTCAATTAATGCTGTTGGATGCTCTTCTATAAATTTGGCTTTAACGGCATCATTTAGCTCTTGAAGAAATGCACATACACATTTTGCCTTTGATTGCCCAACACTTGATTCATCCACTGCCAACATCACAAGTAAAACAAAAGAGTGGAAAACTCAAAAGTAAAGAAAATGCCATAACTGAGACATACCCATAAAGTTATTTCCAAGGTCACCCTCTTCAACTTTAGAACCATCAATAACAGTGATACTTCCAATCCCACCGAGAACAAGATTTTTTAAGGTTTCAGAGCCAGTAGGACCACAATTAAGCAAACATATGCTAGCTTTCTCGAGAGCAGCCTGTCCTTGCTCACCCCATATCCTGCAATAAAGATTAAATCTTCATTTCTTGTCCCCAAATTAGAATCATCAGCATCTCAACAATATTTATAAATACACAGACCATGGAAAAGTTTTGGAGTCCGACTACCCTTCCCACTCACCCAAAATATAAATTAATGAAAACAAAATAAAAACAGAAAATTGAAATAGTTGGTCAGCAGATTCAGTATTAATTTACCAATAGAACTACATATAAACAAACTAATGTGATTGTAATCAACTATTTGGCAAAGAAGACAAAGCCTCTCAAGGTATTAAACGCAAATAAAAGAACTTTCATTCACAATTATATTTTATCTGGCTTCTACAAGATTTCAACAATGATGTCACTGGCCTGAAGCCTATAACACTATCCCTTACCAATCTGAGGCCGAATGAAAGTGTTGCATTCAAGGCCCATCCTATATATACACATTTATTACCATTTATCGTATTGTTCGACATTATTACTTATGATAAAATATCATTGACCGATCCACACAAAGACACTGGCAAAACATGAATTTAAAAACTCGTATACAAACACTTTAAGCTTCTAGCGATCAACAACACTTGTTTTGGTTTTACAAGAAACAGGGTTAAAAAAAGTATGGAACTTTCGAATCTTATGCTTCACATCGTATTGGAATTCGCAAAAATTTGAAAAACTAACCAAATAGTCGAAATTAGGGTTTTCTTTCTTTCTTTTTTTTCCGATGAAAAGTAGATTATTTTCTTTCTTTTTCTCAGAAACTAGATGGAGCTTGTGTTTTATAAACTTAGGGAAAGAGAATGTGGGAGAGAGAGTGATAAAGGTGGTTGAAGTGATGATGGTGATTGAAATAAAGATAGACCGTACCTTAGTTGTCGATCATATTTGGTTTTTGGTTCTGCCATTGTTGTTGTTGTCTGTAAAACGAAGCTTGTGGTTCGCTTACTCTAGACGCAGTGTGTCTTAAACACAGAGAGAGAGAGAGATTTATGGGACGAACCTAGCAGATGGGTCGAGTATTAACCTTGAACAGGCCCTTACCCGAGGCCCGGCCCAAGATAAATGATCAAAGGTCCAACTTGGTCTAGCTGACCCACATGGCTTGCTCTAGGCGGGTGGCTAGTACCTTTGTTTTTTTTTAAACCTTGGCAATAAACTCACTTATGCACCCACATTTTTTTACAAAGTAGGGAAATGGCAATGGGGCAGGATGGAGCGAGTTTGACTAAATCTGTACCTGATCCGTTTAATTATGGATAAATTCATACCTGTTACTAAATTCATACCTGTAACAGGTTTTAATTTCACAATTCATACCTGCCCTGTTTAAGAAACCCGTGCCGTAGTGCGGCCGTGCCTGCCCGGTTCGTTTATGCTTTTTTCTTTTTTTTTTCTTTTTAAATCTATAAATTTTATAAAATGTAAATAATGATATATATGTATTTATATAAACACAATAATGTGCATACATTTTATAACACATATGTACATCTATATATATAAATTTTTAAAAAATAAATAAAGTATAAAGAGCAGGGCGGGACAAATGCTGCGACGGGATTTTAACCTAAATCGATATCCGTCCCTATGGTACATAAACGATTTTCATACCCTTACCTTTTGGGGCGAAACTAGCGGGACTCTGGTGAAACAGAACAAATTGCAATCCTTAAAAAGTAGCATTAAGCTACAACAAAGCTACATTGCAACTTTGCAAGTATATTTATAGTCATCTTTTATTATATTATAATTTTAATTTACAATTAGTGAAAAAAAAATTAGACATAAAAGATGAAGAGTAACTTTATGATTTTGGGTATTGCTGCTTCTTTTTTTAACTAAATGGTATAGCTTCTTGTTCCATTCTTCAATCTAAATTTTGAAAAACCATTGATGCTAATTGTTCCACAATTTCTCTAGCAATTTTTTTCCCCGGTAGGTTCTCTCTAACAAAAATAGTTGCACAATAACATATTAAGGTTCCATAATTTTTTTCCAGAATAAAAATCAAAAGAAGTCCACAGTAAAATATTTTAGCTATTTGTATTACATAATTGGTGCAATTCTTCTAATTTTTATTTTTTCTTTACATTATTGACAAATTGATATTATATTTATATTATTAATAATGAAGGACCGTAAACCGTTGAAGCTTAAGATCTGAGTGTTCAAGCCCTAGTAGAGACAATTTTAGTGAATGAGGCTTTTAAGCCAAAATAATATATATAATATATATATAATTAATGATCATATCAATGTGATTTGAGGGTTTATGAAATTGTAATTCTCAATTTATGATGAAGCTACATTGTGCATGTCCCTTGAACTAAATAGTTTGCCTTACAACAAACCATTAAAATTTGAACAAATTACACCCGTATACAGCTTCCAGGTTTATGAAATTCTGCTATACTTTTGTTTGAGTAAATTGAACATGAATTCTATCACTTCTGAAAAGGGTATTTATAAGCCATGGGACTATGATAGATTAAGCTGTTAAGGTTGAAACTTTAAGCATTGACAGTCCAATAGATGGAAACGAAATGAATCTACCAAACAAATACAAGAAAGAGTTCTGAAGAGTTTTACTTGCACTCTCTGCACACGCACACACAAAAACAGTCCAATAGATGGAAATGAAATGAATGGTTTCCTTTGCATATAATCTACATAAAAAGTTGTTGAGGCGAATGAAACCGCAGTCTACATAAAGAAACATTCAAGCTACCTTCAACAGAACATGCCAAAATTGTAACTCCTACTTAATTATCAGTATTCAACAATAGAGCATATGATATATATCTCAATTACTGCACGGACAACAGATCATATGATAAACTGCACTTCTACAAATATTCAAGACAAAAAAAAAACCTCGAGAATGCCTATGCCTTCTAAAAGAGTATCGTTTTCTCGAAGGTATTAATATAAGCATAAAAAAAGCTATTAGCAATCCAAAGATTGAAAAACCTGTTCAAGACACACTTTGATCAAGTTGTATTCTTGTAACCTGCAACTAAGAGAAAGTGGAAAACTAAGGTCCATAGACGGCTAATAATAGTTAAGCCTTCAGTATGTTTTACTAAGTTGAACAAGCACAGATAAAGCAACAATGTAAAATGCACCAATTATAGAGATGCCAAAATCCTTTACTGACTCAAGGAATTGGCACCTGCACATGCTGGTTAGTAATCAACATAAGATATCATCACATGGTGAAAAATCAGGTTGAGAGTACTTGGAATAACATCAACTAATTAGAGTCCACTAGGATGAAAAGAATGAATATGAATGTAAATCACGATGAATACAGAAGCTACTAAATGGGGAGACAGAATTCTTCATTGATTATGGTCCCCAAATCACGTTAATGCTGAGACATATTTCGTTGCATGAGTTTCAATCCTCTAATAGATTTGATAGACCTATAATATTCAACCAGAAGCAGACACTGAAAAAACCAAATTCCTGTGAAAAAATATTGCATACTAATCATGGGTTCTTCTGATATACCAAGGAGAGGGCTCAATGTATACATCAAACAGGTTCTAAAAACTTACCCTTTTTTTGTGAAAATCAAGACCCACCAAGAGGGAAACAGAGAATGTTAAAATTTATTGTTGTGTCAATCTTAAAAATTCATATAACTTACCAGAAATCGAAGTCATCTCATCCAAAAATGTTCCTTGAATTGGCTAGCAAAAAAAAAAGGAGCCAACAGCAGACATACTGATAATATCAATGTTGAACAACATATATGGTATTTTAAAACTGTCATTATTCTATAAACAAGTGCCATCTCACCTACAATTACCAAATCCATTACAACTACACCAATATCAATATTAAACCCAACAATAAATAGAACACTGTTCTGGCTTCACTTTCCTACGACATTAACAAAGCTTCTCATTAATTTCTTAGAGTGAAGGCACTCTCAGGTGGTCACGGTGAGAACGTCCTCACAACGAACTTACTCTTTCTTCAAAATGAATTATAATAAGGAGAAGGCATTAAGTGTCAACTTAACTTGACATCATGATGACAGTCCTTAATGTAAAGCCTATTTCTTGCTACAAGTTTCCATATTATTAAAGAGTTTCTTTTTCATGACTGCAAATGCATTAATGAACCGTTACAGTTGAACTTAGCAAAATAAAGCAAGAATTGTAGCTTATATCATCTTTATTAATTAAATTAACATAACAGAACAAGACCAAGTCATCTAAAGATGAAAGTAAGAAAGAGTGGGACTGTAATTCAAGGTTGGTTAAAAGCCAATTGTGCAAGCAAATGATGAATTCAACGTTCCGCATAAAGAAATGAAGTCAAACTCAATGTATTCAATGGTAGCATAAGTAGTAGTATTAACTTCATGGCATTACGTATTCAATGCTAGCATAAAGAAATGTGACTTAAATCATTAACTCAGGAGAGCTGATATACAACTTGCAATTGTGGCAAAACTTCAAAATTCACTAGAAATCACTAGATCAGCATAATTAACAGAAACATGATTTATAATAAATCTATATTGAATAAGCATAAAGCATCTTTCAAAACAGAAATTATTAAGATTGTTAAATTCATGTACATTTTTATCGACTCAAAACAAGCACGTCCATTTAACATTTTTCCATTGGCAATTAATAGTCTACAAAGAACACTAGTCCCTAAATTCTCAGTAATAAAGCATATACATTAACAAATTAACACATAAAGTTGAATCTAAAGCGAAATAGAATAGAAATTATAAAATGACAAATCAATCAGGAACAATTGAACTGTAATGTAACAATCAATTATGTTATTATTGATTTCAGCCCTAATTACCATATTTTTTTCACAATCCACTAATATATTTGATAGACCTATGATATTCAACCAGAAGCAGAGACTGGAAAAACCAAATTCCTGTGAAAAAATTATTTTATACTAATCATGGGTTATTGTGATAGACCAAGTAGAGGGCACAATATCTATATCAAACAAGTTTTGAACAGTTCAAACAACTTATCCTTTTAATATTAAAATCAAGACCAACCAAGAGAGAAACAAAGAATGTTAAAATTTCTTGTGCCAATCTTAACTAATCATATCACTTACCAGGAATCAAGTCACGTGATCCAAAATGTACTTTGAATTGGATTCCAACTAAAAGCACCAAACAGCAGACATACTGACAATATCAATTTTGAACAACATATATGGTGTTTTTAAACTGTCATGATTCTATAAACAAGTGCCATCTCACCTACAATTGCCAAATCCATCACAACTACCCCAACATAGATATTAAAACTAACAATAAGTAGAACATCTGGCTTCACTTTCCCGTGACATTTAACAAAGCTACTCAATAATTTTTTTAAAGAGAAAAGCTATCGTGAAGGCACTCTCATGTGGACACACGCTCTCAGCAGTTGGATCACAACAGCGTGAGGCATGAGAGCACACTCTCAGTCCAACAGCGAAAGACACAAGCTCAGTGAGAATGTCCTTATACGAACTCACTCTTTCTTCAAATATAGTAAGGGGAAGGAATTTAAGTGTCAACTAAACTTGACATGATGATGACATTCCTTAATGTAAAGCCTATTGCTTGCTACAAATCTCCATGTTCCCAGAGTTCCTTTTTCACAACTAATGAACCATTACAGTTGAACCTAGCAAAATAAAGCAAGAATTGTTGCATATATCCTATTTAACAATTAAACTAACATCACAGAACAAGTAAAACCAAGTAATTTGAAGATAAAAGTAATAAAGAGTGGGACTGCAATTCAAGTAAGTTGAACAGCCAATTGTGCAAACAAATGGTGAATTCAACATATAGCATATTATACAAAAATGCCATCGTATTTATGACATTACATATACAATGGTAGAATAAGTAGTATTATTAACTACTTACTAGAGACATGAAGTAAACTCAATGTTTAGCATAAAGAAGTGTGATTTAGAACATTAACTCGAGAGAGCTAATAGACAAAAGCAATTTTGGTAGAAGACACTAAAAATCACTAGATTAGCATAATTAACATAAGCATGATTTATAATCAATCAATACTGAACAAATATAAAGCATCTATAAATACAGAAAGTATTCAGATTGTTAAATTCATGTACATTTTTACAGACTCAAGACAAACACGTCCATTTAACACTTTTCATCCTCCAATGGCAATTAATGGTCTACATAGAACACTAGTCCCTAAATTCCCAATGAGAGCATCTACAGAAACACTTAAAAGGTTGATCTAAAGGTAAACGTAATATAAATAAGAGAATGACAAATCAATCAGGAACAAGTGAACTGTAATGGAACAATTAATGATTTTATTATTGATTTCAGTTCTAATTAACATATTTTTTTTCACATAATCCATTATAGGAAGGCGAAAATTATAATCCACTACAGATAGAAACCAACCTACATTAGGAAAAAAAACGAAGATGTTCACAAATTGAACTAGTTCATTCAATGAGCAACAAGAATATCAGTATTAAACAAATCGATGATAGAATCAGGCGAATCCGACACTGGACTCGACGGATTCGAACTCAGAAAGAATACAGATTTGGCAGCCACGAGCTTCTTCCTCTGGGGACATCGTGGACCGTAGATCCTCCCGGAGAAGCAAGGAAAGCCGTCGATCGTCGAGATCTGTGCCAAAACGGCGTTTGCCGTCCGTACGGGTGACGAGGAAGGCGGTGATGGCGAGCGGTGGAGAGGGATGTGAGTCTGTGAGTCGACTCGGTGGGATCTGGCACTGATTCTCGAGTCTCTGAGTTGAGCTAGGGCTCCTGGTTTTAGGTATCTGAGATAACCTTCGTCTCTCTTTGAAGATGACCTTCTGATACGGCGGTTCATGACGGATGAAGGTGTTGCGAGGACAGTGTAGAGAGAGAAAGCAGTAGTTAGGGCAGTGAAGAGAAATTGGAGGGAATTTTGCAGGGAAATGTAGAGAGAGAAAGTGAGTAGATAGAGAGAGTGGGGGGAGGGGGATTTAAGGGAGAGGGTGGAGGCGGGAAGATAATGGAGGGAAGAGGGGTAGAGAGAGAAAATGGTGTTTCAAAATAAGGCAAGGACCGTGAGGCGCGGAATACTATAGGGTTTTGGTCTTCGACACGTGACTTTTTTCTCTCACTTAGTTTTTGCTCAGAACACAACGCGTGGCATTTTAATCCAGTGGTTGTAACAATCCACTTTTGGGTCCTCGCAAGCAAGAAAGACTTCCCTACACCAGGGTATAACGAATTGGGCGTTTGTCCTCTAAAAATTGAGCTATTGCTGCATATTTGCTCTCGAAGATTTAAACTCTTTTATTTCATTCGTCCCTTATTAGTAGTTTATTTCTTTATTAGTAGTTTATTTCTTTTTTTTTTACATGTTCTAAATTAATTGTCCTTTTTAAAAAAGTCAAAGCATCTTTTCTTCATATTTTCATTATTGTCATTTATCTTTTTAAAAAATTTTAAACTTTATAACTATATATATTTAAATTAAAAAGAACAATTTGGTAATTTCAAAAGAGGACAATGCATTAATTGCATGTCCCCTTAAAAAGTTATAAAATCAAGAATGGACCATTAAAAAAGGACGGAGGTAATAATATTTTTGTTCACTCGAATTCGCAACTTTCTTATTATAGTCAATTCACCTTATTTGCACCTTTCCTCTTATAAAGAAATATTGTTCTTCACTCGAATTTGCAACTTTCTTGTTATAGTCAATTCACCTTATTTGTGACACCAAATCAAATGTTTCGATTGTTGTGCATAGATATCCAACACTTGCAACCTTCTAACTAGGTATGAGACTTGGGCAAATTTTTGGAGTTTGTTGAGTTTCCCAAAATTTTAAAGTCCTACTCATAAATAAAATGTTCTTTTAACATAAATAAAATGTTAAAATGTATAATAACTAAATATCTGAAATTAAATCCACTCATATCACGTGACGAAAATTAAAACCAAATTCTATGTAACATAATCTCTTAGTACTAATTTATAGGTTGTAATAAAAAATACATATATATAAACCATTCAATGTTTACATGCTTCAAAATCTTAAATTCTTTATGACTTTGATTCTTTAACAAAAAATTAATTATTAAATATATTTTTTTTTACTTTAAAATTTGGATAAATTTCACCTTTCTCTCTCGAGATTTGTCAATATCCCACAAACCCCTCTATACTTCATAATCTCAATTATTTGTCTTATAATTTCACCTACTACCCTTGTTAATGACCAAAAGGTCAATTTTATCCTTCCAATGCCCGAAATGATAGCAAACATTCTATGGACAAAATTATAAAATAACACAGTACAAAGGAGGTAAGTAGAATTACGAAATGTAGAAGTGTCTATATGAAATATTGACAAATCGTAGGGGAGATAAGCCAAATTTACCCTTAAAATTTTAAAACAATCATGTTAAAGTTTGGGTAATGATTAAGAGGGAAAAAAAGTTAGATTAATACATATGATGATACACTAATTTTAACTTTAATTTACACAATTAACATGTAACCTTAAAATAAAAAAATTATATATATATATATATTGCATTTTAAGTTTATGAGGTTATTCGAGTTAGCAAAACATTTTTTAAAATCTTGTCCAAAATAAATTAAAGCTCTTATCATCTCTTAGTGTCTAGTATCATTCCAGCGAGTGCACAATAAAGATTGGGACCTACTATTTTAGTAAGGTCATTTCTATTTGTCCCTATGCAATCGAACTGTCCAATGTACATAATATGATTAAAGTTCATGTAGAAATGTTTATTTTTAAAAGAGCCAGTGAAATATACCGTTATTTATTTTGTTTTTAGTTTTGTTATTTAGGCCAATTCAGCTCCCAATAGCGATATAGTCTAGCAATATCTCCTCAACTTCTCAAAGAGACGCCGTTTTAAGTCTACATATATATAAAAATGGAACCGCCAGAAAAAAAAAAAAAAAAAAAAAAGAAAAAGAAGAAAGCGCTGCCTAAATAATATTTTCTTTTTTCTAGCCTTATAAAAAAACAATATCATTCAAATGTAAAGAAAAGTACAAAATCTTGTACTCTTGCAATACTTATAAGACGAAAAAATGACAACACTATAAGGGACGGACCCAAAAAATTATGTCAAGGGGGTGGGACTATGTTATGGAGTAGTAGTATAATTTTTTTATAATTTTGGTGGGAGCAATTTTAATAATTTATAGGTATTAAATACAAAAATAAAAAACAATAGATATAAAATATTATAAAAAAAAAAAATATTTCAATTGAGGGCAATTGCTCTCAGTGGGCCGAAGGTAAATCCGTGCCTAAACACAATAATGCAACATATCTAGCTATGTTGTGACTTTGTGAGCTACCTTGTTGGCATCCTGCGAACAAGCCTAACTCAAAAAGAGATGAGCAAGATGTAACCACGGCCTCCATTAATGTTTGATGCTGTTTTTATGACAATTCGACACCATGGCCTAAACAATTCTTTTTGCAAATTAATTGAGGTTCACCTCCAAATATTACCACTACACTCTTTAGTTAACTGACAATCGTGGATTGTCTTATGCATTGTACTATTTTGCTTCGTTTGGTAAGAAAGAAGAAAATTAAATAGAAGAGAGAGAAAATTGTGTGCTTTCTTATTTTTGTTTGGTTAGATGGAATAGAAAATAACGAGATAATACTTTATTTTGAGATAATAGAAACGATAGTATTAATTATAAGCAAAGTTTTATAATTTTTTTATAATAGTCTCGTCTTTTTTTCTTTACTTATTCGGCTCCTGAGTCTACACCAAGGCTCGGGCATGTGATGGGTTGGCTTCAATCCCTGAACTTTTTATTATACGCCGGATGAATTATCTGGATGACATTCTAAAGGAGCATATGGTCAGATTGAGCCTCATGTTATATTTCTTCGAAGTGTTAGAGGACTTCATGAAGATGCTATGCATGATCTTCCTTCTTTAGGCTTTTGACCACCATATTATCTATATAGACCTCTACAGTCTGTTTAGAGGAATGAAATATGACATACCTAATAGTCTTGCCCTTGTTTCACTTCCATTATCAGCATAAGAAATAGCCATACCTAAAGGATATTTGATACAATTTTTTGACTGTAAATCCTCACACTGTTCCTTTCCAGACCGTAAGTCCATGACTCAAAACATAACATAAACAGAATACAAGAGAGAGAGGTATAATGAGAGGCACGTCATTGTAGTTTTGTTCAATGAAAAACTAATTGAAAAAATCAAAATACATGTTAAAAATTGCAAGGAATTTTGTTTACATGGTCCGAAATATTTGATTCGGATCGACCCACTAACAGTCTAACACACACAAACAAATTCTAGTAGTAATAAATACTGCTAGATGCTTATTGGGTTTTCAGAATATCTAAGACGTCCCATCAAATAATATTCCTACAAGACAAAACAAGAAATATAATTATTAATACAATTTGTCAGAAAAGCTAGATAAGTTAGAAAAAATATATATATATAAATAATTCAGAAAGAAAATAAGAAATACACCATAAATGAATCAACTCGAATAATTAACCAATCAATTCAAAAAAAATTAACCAACTTTAACGAATGTCTTAATTTGTCGAGATAAATAAATGTGTTATTTGATCGAATAATTAACCAATCAACTCTCAATTTTTTGAAAATTTAGTTAAAAGTGTTTTTAGAAAATAGTTTTTTATAATTATTTGAATAAATTTTTAGTTTGTCAAGTTCATAATACTAATTGTTAGCAGAATATTGAACAAAGCAAGCTCAAATATTCTCAAAAACTTTAGTGAAGAAATCCATGAATCCAATTAAGTTTTATAATGTGTTATGTTGGTGAATAAAAGTAAATACATATGTTATTGCCGAACGAAAGTAAATACATTATTTTAAAAAAGAAAAAAATACATGTTTAACTAAATTTGAAAAAATATATGTTTATCCAATTAATTGATTCCTATTTTAATAGTACCTTAAATTCAAATATATATATATTTTTTCCCTGGCAAAGAGAAACAAAACATACCAACATATATAACTTTCCGAAAAAAAAAAAAAAAAAAAAAAAAAAAAAAAAAAAAAAAAAAACTACAACAAAGAAGAGCCAGAATCCGCCACCGCAAGAGCCACAACGGAAGGAGGAAGAGATGACGACACCTGATCCGCCCAAAGCCCAGGCCGCGAAAGAGAAGCCATAGCATGAGCCACTCTATTACCCTGACGATGCACATGAGTCAAAGAGGCAGACGAAAATCGTCGAAGATCCATAGTAATATCAAAGCAAATAGGAGCAATTTCTGATGGACAAGACTCCCCGTTCAACACTCATAATCGAGAAAAACCCAGCTCCAAAGTAGAAAAAATAGCATGCTGACAAACTATAGATTCTACCTACAACGAAGAAGAAGCTGTAAAGGTGTTACCCTGCACTGGAGTTAAGGAAGAACAGAGAGACCGAGCATCTGAAAAATCCCAAAAATGGCCAACCGTCTTCCGAACAACCTGTTGGGATTTATATGCCCTGGCATAGCAAATTCCTGTTTGGATTAATTGACATATGTTCCTGACGTTTCTGAAATATTTATGTTTTATACAATTGGTGAATTCAATGTATTATATTTCGATTCACTATGAAATTGATAGTGTCCATGTAATTACAAGAAATATTTATATATATGTATGTGATGGCAATCAATGCATGATATATAAATAGTAATTATAAATTGTTCATAGTCGGTAATTATGGATGGACTCATAATTAATTAAGACTTGAACTGGATCCGCGTTAGGTTGAGATATATTGCGAGAGCTGTCGTATGCAATTACTCCCTATCACCGTCATGGCATTTGACTCTTAAGCATGAGAAAAGTATAGACTATTTTATTAATTAATAATTACTTTGATTTGTTCGGCGGATTTTTCGGGATCCTTAGATCGACACTTCGGGTAGTTATGTAATTAATAGTTAGATGTTTATATTTTCAATATTTGCATCATTGCTACTTGTATTTATTTTGTATTGATTATGGTTGATCACAAAGTAAATTCGAAG